TCAACGGGGTTTGAACCCGTGACCTCGCGATACCGGTGCGATGCTCTACCAACTGAGCTATGAAGCCACTGACGTTGGGAGCAGGTCAATTGTGGGTTCATATGTTCCCGTGAAAGGAATTAGTGTTAATGGCATATGAAATAAATCATATAGGAACTGCGGAAATGACGTTGAAGTCCTGAATTTTTTTCAGGCTTTTTTACGCCATTGCATAAATTGCATTCACTGCGACGATCATTTCTTCATTTTCATTTCATTTCCGCAGTTCATATATGATTTATTTCATATATCATTAACACTCAGAGCACTTTTTTGTTTGACACTTTTCGAATGCTATATGTTTTTCGCAATAGAGAGATTTAGAATTACTTTTAAGGTAAACGGCAAAGGCCAGATTAAAGGTGAGAATTTCTGAAAAAAGATAGTGAAAAATAAAATACAAAATACAAAAAAATAAAAGCTATCAAAAACAATTCTTATTGACAAAATTTGCCTGAGACTAGTAATATTTATGTAAAAGCATTAAACAATGAAGGACAAATAAAGGGAAAACTTGGTCACGTGGTGCAAATTCACGTTTGCGTTTGCCGTAAATGACTTTAATTGTTTCTAATGTTACACGAGTTCTAACCTCGTTCCAATCCGTCCTCAGCGATTTTGGATGTGACGTCACCTGTCTAGCTTGTCGGGAAAATTAATTCGCCGAGGAAGAATTTTAGGCTATTGCGCTCGGTTCCAAGCCTCCTCTGCTCACTCGGTACCTGGGGAAGATGCTGCGCGAGTTTTATTTACATTTTAATCGAAGAGCTGGTTAACAGTAGTACACTGTACATGCTTTTTACGGCCTTGTCCTTATCTTTTGCAGAAAGAAGATCTTTCATAAATATTCGTCTAAAGTTTCTCCTGGTGATGCAAGGAATGGAGTAGAAATGAATCCTACGTGATTTGTTTCTCGTGAAAATCCTTTGTACCCTGATAATGATGTTACCTAGTAGATGCTCACTGAAAAAACCCAGTTTTAAGGTGGCAACAATGTTAACGTGAACAACAAGATGTCATCAAGGTCGCTCACCCTTTACGCAAGCCCATCTGGTTAAACACCTCATATGTGAACGACAGTTCACTGAATTCTTTTTTGTACACTATCTAGGACAATTACACGAACATGTATAACAATAGCAGAAAAAAAGGATAACGAATAATAATTAAGAAGAGGCAATTGACATATGTGTGCAATGTCCAAAGTAACAAGAGCTTTCTAGCTGAACACCGCCACCTTCAAATAAATGAAAGCAGAGAAAAAATAATTAAATCAGTGATGAAACAAGCAGAGATAGTATTTCCATTCTGTCTTAAACTTAATATAGGGTAGACATTTAAGACCATTAAAGCGGTACAGTGTTCCAGTTGATTAGTTTGACCTTACCTAAAAAGGACCGCTGCAAACTAATTCAGCTGGTTAATCGTGCGTTATCATTTCATTAGGTCAAAACAAATCACCCTAATATGAGCTTTATATTTTGCTCATAATTTTATTTATTTAACTGTTTCATATCACATTGTATTTCACTTCATATTACACTTTGATAATGACTACATCACGTTATTATTTAATTACCCAGTTTTATAGTTGTAATATTTTTTTATCAAAGAATAGTTGTTAATAAGGACTAGTTTCATATAAGCTCATCAAATTATATTTAAATCTACTTTTCGCCTTGGAACAATTAAATCATCAAAATGGTCGTTTATGAGAACACAAGTGGTGTTGGCTTGCCTTTATTTCCTTTTCATTCCTTCATTTTAATTTTTTACCTATTTAAATCAGAGCTCAGCTTATTAAGCTTTTGTTGTTACAACAAGTTGTGTTCTTTATCTCAATCGCCGTTGTGCTTTCCCCCTAAAGAAGGTCATTGGAGCGCTTTTAAAACCTCATTAAGGCTTATCTATTTGATTGGAAAGTGCTATGCACTAAACTAGCAGAGCCTTTCGCTTTACTCCCTCTTGGGGTACTCTTTTCTTCTCCTCATTCAAGACGAAAAATGGACCTGTAGCTTAGTTAACGATAATTTGCCAGACGAGGAATAAAAAGTGTACCAATAATTTATTTGATAACTGTGTATGAAACCGCAAACTGGTCATCACCTGTCGAACTACCCGCAACGAAAACATCGTTCTAAAACGGCAACTAAACAATTTTGCTTTGAAAACTAATGTTCTGTCAGCTTCAGAAGTTCTGTTTCAGTTTCAAAAGCCTCATCCTTGTTTTCCTCCTGAAGAAGTTCATTTAATTTGAGTTCATGTCTTAAAGTGACCTGCAGTTGAATTTTCGTGGAATTGACCGCAAGGCACGCAACAGAAGGCTTTCCAGTCGTCCTGGCACTAAGAAACAACGCTTTTCTAAATTCAGGGATTCTTAGTGAATAAATTACAGGATTTGCGAAGGAATTGCTGAAGTTTAGAAGATTTACGAAAAGCAAAACATCCTGGCTTACTGGAACGTAAACGCAAATAGTATTAGTTATAACTAAAGGAAGCCATGACATCAAAACGACAAGAGCAATGACCAAAAGGGTCTTGGTTGATTGCTTATTATTTCGTGCCAACCGTCTGTTTTGAGCTTGCAATAAGTTTCCTCCTTGCTTGTATTTTCTCCAAATGCCGATGTAACAACCAGATATTATCAGCATCAAGCTACAAGCGTATGCCATCCATATATAAATCGAGACATGAATTGGCTGGTTCTTTAGTGTGTGAATAATTGCAGACGAGATGACTACTGCCAAAATCCAGACTAAAGCAATGAGAGCGTAGTATGCGCGTCTTGTAGCAATAGATCTGTGTTTCAATGGCCAACCTATTGAGTAAAACCTCTCTAGTGCGATAAAAGCAGCAGTAATTATTGAGGACTGAGCGCAAACGGTATCCACAACGCGATAAAGCATTTCCAAAGAGGAACTCCACTCTCCTTGCCAAAGCTCAAAATTACCTCCAAGCTGGTAAATGAACAATGGAAGAGACACAGCTCCCAACAGTAAATCGGCAAATGCCATGTTTATGACCAGAAGGAAACTGTTCTTTCGAAGCTTTTTGTTTAAAGCAAACACTATGACTGCAAGTAAATTCCCCACAACCGTGAAGAACGATACTACAGCAAAAGCACTGCACCAAGCCACACCGTCTGCTCGGCCTAAAGACCCTGCTAGCAATACAGAATCATTTCTTGGGTTAATACTCGAATTCTTCTGCATGTTTCAAAACGTCAGTGCTCAGTTTACGAAACAAATAATGAAAACGGTAGACAAAAAGACTCCCTCCTTCGATGCGGCTATTTTATGCAAGCCTAATTCTATATTTTAAGTTTTTAATTATTAAGATTATGATCTGTTTAAGAATTTATCATCAAGGTAGATTGCAAGAAAGGCGTGCGTGCATCCAGTTGCCTCAGTGTGTACATATGACATTACTGGTCCAGAAAGAATTACAGTAGTCTGCCTTTATCGTAACGGAAAAATTGGAGCAATTACCTACGGTCTACCACAACGTACACCAATGTGCCAACCAGAGCTTAACACATTTACACTTCAACCGGCCGTAATCATCCCTGAAGAACCATGATTCTCATACCACCTACAACGCAATTTCCATAGACGAATAGTTTGCGGCCAAATAAAACTGTGGCTTATGTATTACGGGGTAATTTTTGTTTCCATGTCTTAAAGTACCCTCGGAAAACTTAAGCCTGGTTTCCATATGATCGTCCGGATCGTCCCAGTCGCCTCAAATGATCTTCAGACGATCGGGACGATCCGGACGATCATATGGAAACCAGGCTTTATGATGCGTACACAAAGTAATTTCATATATTCGAGTGAGTACTGACTTACATTGATTAAATTTAAGCACTGACAATTTTAAGCATTGAAAATAGAGAGGAGAAGTCGTTACGTCACGTTGCCATGGTAGCAAAATTTCTGGATGACAACAAACCGAAAACGTCAATTAAAAACTGAACTCAATTTCACTTAGTTTGTCAAATGTTGGCGAAATCGGAAAGGACCGTATCTAACTTAAGAAAAAGAAAAACAAAATTTTTTTTCATTGTGTTCACCAACTGCGTAAAGCGGGCGTGTTAAATTAGGAAGTTTCATGTCGCAGCCGTGCAACGACGCAAAAAAATGTACACAAAAGCGTGATGTACTTGCCAAGTTGCTGTTTTGCTAACAGAAACCTATCGATTTTTTGGTAGTTCTCGTTGCCTTCGCACCGTTGTTGTTTAAGCTCCCTATTGTCGTTACTGATTAGGGTTGAGCCCTGTGAATAGTCGTTAGGGTTAAGCATTGACTCAAAACCGTTTGGTTTCATGTAGGGTTAGGGTTGTTGCCATATAGCTTGAAAATCAAATCAAACACTTCAATGGTGAATCCTCAGTCCGTAGCGTAGTGCTACTGGACTGCAGAATGTAGGCAGCGGGTTCGAATCCCACTCATGCTGCTCTGAAATTTATTTTCTTTGAAAATTGAAGAGACTTATACTTTCATGAACATTTGTTAAGCAACAATTTCATGTCAATAGACTACAACAAAGCGTCCCTCAGAATTGAAATTAAATTCTAATTAGAACGCACGGCAATTTCTTAAATTATCCTCACACCAACAATGTTAGGATCTGCAGTGTATCGTGAGAAGGATACAACCCAGAAGACTTTGTAGACCATATGTAATGCGTGTGCCTGGCCCTAGCCTGCGTAACAGGCGCTAAGGAGGTAAATGGGCGCAAGAAAAAACCGGTGCGCGCGAGGGAGACTCGCGTGTCTTCTTCTCTCGAGCGCATTTTTTCTTGCGCCCATTTATTTCCTAGCGCCTGCTACGCAGGCTAGCCTGGCCCAACCAATGTATAAAGAGCTGTGCAAGAGAATCCACGCGATCGCGATCACCGAAAAAAAGAAATGTTGGTAGTTGTTGGCTCAAGGTTTGCACAACATCTCCCAACAACACGCAGCAACATGTAAAAGGGTGTGTAAACAGACGCAACAAGTCAGATATCCAACAAAGTTGGGAGTTGTTTGGGCCAACGATGTTGCGTCCGTTTAAACGGAGCTTAAGAGCGGCTGAGAAACACGAGGGAAGAATTTGTTTAAAGAGGGGGTATTTCATGCAAGACAAACACCATTCACTCTCTCTTGATGAAAGAATTTCAATTCCATAGAATTACCCTTAGTTCTGGTACTTTATTCAATCATTTAATGCTAACGAATATAGTTCTGTCCCGCAGCTATCTGACATTAATGAAAGTTATTGATAACACCTTAAAATTAACACGTTGTTAACAGGCAGCCATGAATGTGGTGAATGTGATAACGGAGTTATGAGGCAATTTTAGCTCTCTTGGAACATGAAGCGCGCTGCTACGTTCTGAATCCTCTGGATTCTAGCTACGTCACTGATCTCCACTTTACGATAACACCTCTTTATTTGAGTGTTATTACCGCACTTTTCAAATTAGCTGCTCAGTAAAGCCTTTATCTGCTACATACTATTAATGAATTAATCATAATTATAACAAACTTCTCAGATCTGATTGGCTATCAACTGCCTTGATTTCAGCCTTAGTAGGACAATTTAATAGGATAGTACGCGTCATGCCGAAGTAATTGGACAAAACGCGCTATCAAGTACCCACTTCAATGGCTTTTTTTCACTGCTGCTAGCAAAAAAAAATGGAATTTCTACTGTTTTGATTTTAAAAAAAGAGCCTTATATATCACAAATTTTGTTAAAGTTATGATTAATTGGTAAGAGAACTTCGTGTCGTCCAATTCGGTCTGTAATCATACTCTTGATAAAACACTCAGTAATCACTCGCATTATTACAGACCGAATTGGACTCCACTCAGTCCTGTTATCATTACTAATACAACTGTATTTTACAATGACGGCTATTCCACTTCTGAAATAAGCACTTCCGTTTCGTCTCTATTTTCATCTTTCTGCTCTTCTTCAGTGCTGTCTTTGCCTGGCTTCTCGGTTCCAGATTCCTCATTAATTTCTACAAGCGCTTTCTTTTCACCTCCGTCCGTAGTGTCGGTATATTTTCCCTCCTCTTGAGTGCTATAACTGCTTGGCGTCTGAGAAAGAGTTTCCAGTGTTGGTTTGAAGCGGGTCTCAGGCAGTAAAAAGCAGAGGAACCCGGCAACGAGAGCCGCTACGCCCATGATGACGTATGGAACGATAGGATGAGCGCGTTGCTATGGAAATAAAAAGGCATGGGTCTCAATGAATTTGTACATCAATCCAATTGGTGTTATTTGGGAGTTTGCACAGACACAATCTTTGTGCTTAATGATTTCTGGGTTCAAAAACATAGCAGAGATGATATTCTTAGCATTTGGTTTCTTAAGATTACATGCACAGCCGCTAAACTGAGGTTACAGACAACTGCAAATTAATAAATTTCTCTTGCATTGGAGTTACTTACCGAATAAACAACATAAGGAGAAAGAAAAGAGCCAATCCTGGCAGCCGTTGTGCTCGTACCCATACCAACATTTCTGGGAAATAAAGTAAGCTCATCAATCAAAAACATCTCAAACGCCCGTAAGCAACCACCCAAAGTGAGTGCTAAGACTCGGTCGTGATCGCTTACGTGAGGAAGTCGCTTGCTGGAATCAAGTCAATCAAGTCAAAGGGCGAGTCTCTCTGGAGAAATCCCGACATATATCTACTTCTGGGAAGAGAACTTGTTGCACGCAATCTTTACTTCTAGTTACGTGATGTGGCAGTTCTATGTCATCATAAAACGCTCTTTATATAAAAAGAAGTATCAGTACATGCAGCGAACATAATACATCGAACGAGATCAGACCATCTCTCAAAACAGGGTTAAAAACAATGGGAAATTGTAAAATAAGTTATGTCCAATTAAAAAAGTGGCTACGGTTGCTTTCAAGAGGTGGTCGTCCACAAGAAATTCTAACTATAGGCTTTGACTAGTAAAATGTTAGTGTTTTGGATAAGAGGTCGCCTATGGGAGATGGCCGCACTTGGAGCTTCGACTGTACATTAGTATAAACTTCTGTCCAGCAGTGGACCCCTACATTATATACATACCTTACCACGGTAGGGAATAACTCGGAGGAGTATATATACACTCCGTCAAACGAAATCATAATCCAGAATTTAGCCCATACCATTGACAGGAAGATTTTGCCCGCAAGAAAACCTAGAGAACAAAAAAGATTGAATCAGTCTCATGCATGTCTGAAACTGAAGTTATCCTCCTTAGAAATCTCACCATCGTTTGATGTGCAATTAATTGATAGTACAGACAGTCAGAGTGTCCTTATTATCCGGGTGTCCGTATTAAGCGAGTTACCAGAAAAACAAATGTCATGGACACATCGGTATAAAGACTAAAGCAGACACTTTTTTAAGAGAACGCGGTTCAATTTCTCAACTGTAACTTTAACAAATTCAGCCTAAAGAAAACTCACGATAATTCATTAGTCTCGGACTAAAGCTACCTTTTAAGAATTGATGGTGAAACACGACAATGGAATCCGCGACTTTACCTATTACGTGCCAAAGGGTTAGTTTGCGACTTCGCCAGGTGGACTAAGTATTAGACAGGACTAACTTAAAGAAGGTCGTTCACCGTTTCTGTTAGTTTTTCACTGGTAGGATATTCAGTCATAGACAGTCCTCAGATGGATAGTATCCGTAAACCGGGGTTGACGGGATATGGTAGTTTGGACTGACGGGACACAGGAATGATGTCCGTTGTCCGCACGGGCATCTAGGGCTCCACTATACTGACAGTACCTTTGTTCGATTCATCGTCAGTTGTTAACAGCACTGAGCCTGCGGCTCCAACAGCGGCCAACAGCATGGGAATAACAACTCCCTTTTTTCGCCCAAATCTGTAATACAGAAACAAGTGTATTTGTTTTAAATTACCGTAATCTGAAGCTAGATTCTCAGTTCCCGCCTATTAACTTCTCCCGACCCCCAAACTCAACAGTGAAGAGAAGGGGACACTGGTTAGGCTTGCCTTTTCATTGAAGTGTTGGATAATAGGGAGCTTTAGCAATGATGACGACGACGTCAGCGACAACGGAGAAAACACAATCGGTTTGGATTGGCAAAACAACACCTCTGGACGCTTTTTTGTACATTTCTTTGCCCAGTGCACGACTACGACGTAAAAATGCCTAATTTCACGTTGTGTGGAGAACGTGAACACAAGACAATAACTTTATTTTTCTTTTCCTGAACTTCGGTACAATCTTTTAGAATTCAACTCAAGAAAAAGTTGCCAACATTTGACGAACTGTAATAGATGGAATAAGCGCGATAAACGGGATGGCCGGTCCTAAGGCGAGGTTCCATTGTAATGCATACTTAATTATTCTCCTCCATTATTGGGCTTTTTGATAAGGGATTGTTAAACTAATAACCTGAAATGGAACATAACAAGGTATAGAATACCAAATGGTAGATGGCGAATCAGTTGGCTTTTTAAAAAGCGTGGCCGACTGATCTGAACTCTGGATTAGCGGGGTGCTTGCCATTTGACAGAAAATTTGGGATGGAAGGTAAACGGTAAGGTCACTTTTCGGATATTCCAACCGAAAATTGAGGAGAACTTTTTGAGGTAGTCCGTTCATTCCGGTTGATATGAACCAAACGGAATGTTGCTTACTATTACCAATTTCTCGGTTCCTTCTCCGTTCCAGACTCACGCTACACAAATTTGCCCCTTTTTTGGATTCAAACCGTAACTGATGTGGCAATTCTGCAGCATCCCAACCGGATTTTTTTGTCAAATGGTAAGTACTCCCGATAACAAATTCAGTTTGCTGTCAGGGCGGCATTTGAACTCAGTGCAGGCCTCCTGATTTATAGTTTAGCGCTCTAACCACTCGGCCACGCTGCCTCTATGCCGAATGCGGCAAAACAGACTCCAGTAGTGTTCAACCTGTTGTAAATCCAGACACCAATTGGGATCGCAGGAAGCTCGACCAGACTGGCTAGGAAGAAATTTAGGTAAAGGCTTCCACCAACAGTAGGAGCGCTTAGAAACACGCCGTAGTACACCATAGAGTTCACAAACCTGTAGAAAAAATTAAAAAATATAATTTGCAAGGTGAGATCTAAACTTGGTTGAAAGCACTTAATCTGTCTTTAGTCGGGAGCTCGAGAACGAAGAGCTGACTAATAGTAGGACTAAAAGGTTCCTACTTTGGAGTACTGATTTGTACTGGAAGTAATCAAATCGATACATTTGTTGTTCTTTGTACTATAGTGTCCGTGGTTGCTCCCCCAGATAGTTTTTGGGTTTGTGGGTTAATCATTCAAATGAAAGTATCGAACAGTCCTTTTATTTAATGCTGTAAGCTATGATGGTTAATAAGTATATTGTCTGCACATATGCAACATATGACGTTTTTATTTATGTAAACAAACAGAGTTTTAACAAGATTAGACAGGAGCCGTACTGGTCCTTAACTCTTTACATTAAACACAGGTTGAATATGAACAGGTTGAAAACGAGGAGCTTACCGGCGCCATGTCCCGTTAAGTGACACTTTTATCGCCTTGCTACATTTGTTAGTGACGAAATCTTTCTTAAATATTATAACTCGAGAAAAACCCAAGTTGGAAGTGGAGGTGGAGGCATTTGGCAGCGGCTACAACCACTATTCCGCCCCGTGCTACTCGAGGTAACAGTGAATTATTACCATGGTTTAGAGTACTTACATTCGTCACTTCATTTTTTTCAAAAATCGTCTGGTCGAACAAATGCAACTTTAAAGAAGTCAATAAATGAAGAAAAACTCACCAACAAACCCAAGATATTAACGTCGTCTTTGTGAGACTTCTAGTTTTGAATAAATCTCGTACATCACCCAGCCTTGTAGTAATGTCTGCTCCAGTGTCTATTTTCAGTCCTTCTTCGGGTAGTTCTTTGCGGTTAATTAGCGCTATTTTCGTATATAGTTTCTCAGCCTCTTCCATCTTTCCTTTTACTAACAACCAGCGTAGAGACTCTGGAGAAATGCTTTAAGGTATAAAAGTGATAAAATAATAATGAGAAAGAGGTATGATAATCGATAAAATTCGAAACTATGCCACCACAGGAAAAGCAAAGTCATTTAAAAAATTGTTCATGTGACCGGGGAGGAATAATAGGGAGCTTATGCAACGGCGACGGCGACGTCAACAAGAACGGCATAAAAGAAATAGGTTTAGATTCTTGGTAAAACAAAGACTTTGCACGTGCATCACGCATTTTTGTACATTTACTTGCCGTCACTGCATGACTACGACTTTCACGTTTTGTGGAGAACGTAAAAATAAGACAACGACTTTCTTCTTCTTTTTCTGAATTTCGATACAGTCTTTTAGAATTTAACCCTAGAAAAAAATTGCCAAGATTTGACGAATTGAATAAGATAGAATAAGCGCGATAAAGTTTGAAGCAGCGCGACTTCACTTTTTAAGTGACGTTTTCGTAGACGTCGCCGTCGTTGTTTCTTAAGCTCCCTAATGGTGATGTTACACGAGACGATTCACAACGACGATTTTTAGCGCAACACAGCGTTGCAACATTGTTGCGACATTGTTTCAAATAGTTACAACATTGTTCCAACATTGCAATGATGTGTTGCGCTAAAAATCGTCGTTGTGAATCGTCCAGTGTGACATCACCATAATGTCAAGAGCGTATTGTACAGTGATTTTATACACATAAAGAAATAATATATAGATTTAGCCAGGGCTAAAAGCGAGGCTCCCATTAATAAATTTATAATTTAAATTAAACAATAAACTTGTATTCGAACTCCACAATTCAGTTAACTTTAGAGCACATTTATGTGACTTTTGAGGGAAAGGCTACCTGATTTTAGAGAAAAATAATTTGCAAACAGCCCAAGAGTGAACCAAATCTTACATCGAGTTGATAGCCTCATATGTACACCCAAAAACTGGTAATCATCTTCGATCACATTTAAGAGCCATAATGGCTCTTGATCACCGTAGATTAATTAGTGGAAAAAAAAATCAGGCCAACTTTTTTGCGTTCGACAAGTTTACTTTGCAAAATCTTGTCAACAAATCTGGGTGCGTGTAAACCAACCTTTTATACCATTTATACATCACATCTGAGGTGAAACAGTAGTATGAGGCACTGTTTTTATCATACCGGCAGACCTCGGACAGAAAGCAGTATTTCACAATACAAATTGCACTCATTCAATATTCATAAACTGTTAAAAAAATTTCCAAAATCACCTATACGGCCATCCGGTTCTCACTTTTGTAGTGCGAGCTGTGGCGAGTGTTTGAATGAACATTAACAGAGTTACGCTCCAACATTATAAAGAATTTATTCTGTTTATTTTTTATTTAATGGTTTATTAACGCGCGGCATTTTGAGTACTCCTGCAAGCGATGTTCACTGAACGACTGAAAACAATCGGCACAGCGATTAAAATTACAAGAGAGACTACTAACAATCAATAAAAGAAATATAATTCGGTGAAACATATACAGAAACAACAATTTTCATTCAGGAAGACAAGTATTAAAGTATCCCTAAAAATCCTGAGTCTTCAAGCTTCAAGCTTAAGTTTATGTTTTAAGCCGGCTTCCCGGTGTTTGCTTTTTTCAAAGACGAACTCGAGGCAAGAAAATCGCTCAAAGCTTTCTTTTCCGGCCAGAATTATAACTAAATATTCTTTGGAACGTTTTCTTTCTATTTGCGGTGAGAAACTGTCTAAAGGCTTTTTAAAGTTCTGTAAGCTTATATCAAACCTGATACTCGGTCAGATCATTGTCTCAAATCTTACAAACGTGCATAAACTAAATGACCGCATAAACTCCGCTCGACTTCATTAAATTAGATCCAAAAAAACAAACATCAAATACAATAATTTCTCTGGCTTACCATTCGAGATGCAGCTCCTGAAAGGTATCAAGAAAAGCCAGTATCGCTTCAGACTTTGCAATCCTCTTACGCATCAAGCAAGGTGAAAACGAAAACGATGCCATCCGAAATCGGATTTCCGACTTTGACAAGCGACGTATTCCTCAACCAAAAACCCAATAAACAAACTAGCCATGAATAACAGAGGACTCCTGATAGCAGCTGAATTTCATTTTGCACATCCAGTGGAAAAAGACAGTTAAAAACATCACAAGTTGACACAAAACTCTGTCAGCTTCAGCTGTCAAAGTAAACAAGATTCAAGATGCTGCATAAATTTTCCGCATGAACTCACCTGTCAAATTTTGACCAATCAGAGCATAAAAATTGGACGTAGAGCGTGACCAACGCGTGACCATGGTGAGAAAAGTCAAAAGCAACTGTCTTCCCTGCCTGTAACAGCTGGCTGAATTTTCGCGTCCGAGGTCAGTTTGCAATCAAAATTTTAACTGTGTAGCACATAAACACAACATATTTCTTATGAATTTAGAAAAAACTTGAACTTGAGCCTGCGATCACTTGAAAACTAGTAACTTGTCAGCGGATAACTTCAAAAAAATACTTGACCTCGATGGGTCGACACCTGAGCCTGCGATACGGTCAAGTGATACTGGTCAGCGGGTACCCTGTTTTGACAGCTGTCAATTGATCAAAACATTAATGTCCAATATGTGTGCATTATCAGTTTAACTAGTAAAAGTATGAGATTGAACATTGTTCGCGATCTAGTAAAACAATTAACTGGTCAGCGGACAGCTTCCAAATAAATCACGTCACCTCGATGAGTTGACACATGAGCCCGCGATATGGTCATGGGATACTGGTCAGTGGCTATCCTGTTTTGACAGCTGTCAATTGACCATATTGTGAATGTCCTAAAATCCTATATTAAAGATGTGGACTTGCCAAGACACGCCTGAGACACCCCTCCCTTCCTTTTGATAGTCTCCCCTACCCCACCCGTACAATCTAAAGACGCGTACGTACGTATGTACGTACGTACGTACGTACTACGTACGCTCGGTCAATCACGTGACAACCAAACGAAAAGAGGTTGACCATATTCCATGAGTATGGGGCTCTGTCCCACGCGCACTTCGCGCGCGCGGGAGCCCCGCTATGATTGAATGTTAGCGTAGATAGCGAGTGAGCATGGACATCGCCAAATATGCGGTTCACGTATCAGAACGGAGGCCAGAAAAAAAATACCATTAGGAAAAAAACTCGGCAGGAAATTTGGGAAGGATCCACGGCTCATTCTCTGAAAAGCCTTTCCTACGAAGGCTTGAAGGCTTTACGGCTCGAAGGTCTCGACCTACATTTACTAAGCACGTATTCCAACATAGCAAGGTAAATTCAAAATAATTGTTCTAAAACAAAGGAAAAATAACGAAAACGAGCTAAAACCCTCGCGAAACTCGATCGGTCACTAAGTAAATCAAGTATATAAAAATAGATAAATAAATAAATAAATAACTCGCTAGCACTCCATTCTACCCATACTGCACTTCAACTGAAACCGTCCCATTCCCCACTGCTTCCGTGCCGCAGAGATATTTCATTTCCGGGTAATTCGTATCCACTCAAACGCCGGAAATTCCATACGCTTCTGGTGGTGTTTAGCCCGTCAACACCACTTTATTTCAAAACGGTGCGTGTGCATACTTTGCCGTTATTTTATTTGCAGCACCTTTTTTATTTGCAGCATGTCCCCTGTGGGCCACTGTAGTGGGCCACCGTAACAGTAAAACAAACGCCGATGGCTATTTTCGCACATTACTTTTTCTCTCTTATTCATTTGGAATTGAAACGACAAATACGTTCATAGACTCCCGTAGTTCCCTCGAATACCATACCAGATTCCACACCAAAATGAGCAAAGTCTATACCCGTTTTCAGACCTTAATAGCGCAAAAACCAAACACTTTAGGGTGGCACATATTAAATAGTCCCCCGCTCCGTGGGGCACCGTTATCGATCACGTCACAGGCTAACCAATAACGTTTACTATCTAGTCTGTCTGTTTTTAGTATTATAAAATTATCAAATTGAATTGAAAAACACATTGAGGTAACTTACAACCAGAAGGCAGCTACTACTATGGCTGGTATCCCTGATGTTATGCAGAGTTTTCTCCAGTCTCTTATGAGATAAGCGACTCCAGCCAAGGCAATGAGAGCCAAAGTCCAACAGTACCAAAGGGATGTCCCAATAAGACTTCGGTGTCGAGGACCCGCTGATTCAGCGAGAATGACAAATAAACTCATTCCCCCACCCCCTGACAAAACAAACGAGGAAAAACATATAAAGATAGAAAAAGTAATGTACTACAGTGGAAGCTTTTGTGAGCGGACACTCTCGGGAAGCGCAAAAAGGTATCTGTAACTGCAGCTAACCGCTTACGGGAATGTAAAAATACGTAGGAGGAAGCAACATTTTTTTCAAGCTAGTTTAACGAAGCCAGGCTTTACGCTACAACTGAACTCTCTTGCCAGAAGAGATTTTCCTGGTTCAATAAGTGTTTCCGGATTTGATAAACATATTTAGGGCATTCGTATTCGCGTTAACACTCAACAGTCGCTGCAGAAGATTCATTCGAGTACAGAGCGGTTCCTAAGTTTCACCAGGATCCAAATGATTTCGAAACACGGAACATTTGAAACCGGCAAGGTAAACCGTCTTTGGTATTCAAATCTCTTCCAAAAAGGCTCGTAAAGACTCAGGAACACAGATTATGATATAGCTAATACAGGGTTAGAGTTCCCAATGCGAAAATTGGGAATACTCACCTATAGCAAGGCCGACCAAGAAACGAAACAGTGCAAACAGCCAGTAGACATTTGGGAACGCGGACAGCAGACTAAAGACACCAATAAAGAATCCAAAGAAGAAGACAATGATCTTTCGTCCAAATTTGTCAGCCAATACTCCAGCAATGAGAGCACCCACGATCCAGCCAACAAAGATTAAAGACGACGATACTGTTCCATAAATGGCTTTATCGCATACTAGATCAAACTGAAAACGAATAATAATAATAATAATAATTTATAATAAATAATAATTTCTTACCATTTCACTGAGCTTGATATGCATTCATATGCGCAATAAGGTGAATTTGAAAGAAACGACTGACATCAAATGGAAAACAAACATTTCAACCCAAGCTACAAAGAAATCTTTTAAATTCCGTGTTGTCATCTGCATGTATAGAGCCATAACATGTTTTTGAGCAAAGAGTCGATTGAAACTCCTCTACGGAGCTCCTTAAAGATTATAATTAGCTTAGAATCATCAAGCTGAATAAATACTTTTGCTAAAGAACTGAGAAATTAAAAATAAAGTAGGTGGGTTTTGTGAAGACACAAGTGTGCTATAAATAGACTTCTTTAGCTTTGGCAAGAGAGGATAAAGCTGGTTCACTGGTTCCGTGTGAACTGAGGGCTGATTCGTGTAAAATAGTATGTATTCGATTTCAAGCGGATTCGTCTGGACGTAACCTTAGGCCCAGTCCACACGTATCCGGATATTTTTGATATTTTTGAAAACAGAGATTTTTTTCTCCGTTTTCAAAAATACACACCCACACGTAGCGTATCCAAATCGTTTTCGCCCGTCCACACGAAAACGCTAAAACAATGGAAAGACGATAGCATCCCTTACTGAGCCTGCTTGAAGCTGGAAGCATAAGATGTATCATGGCATCATCGTATTCGAAAACTTCTGTTTGGATCCGTCCACACGTAAACAAAAAGCCGGCGTTTTAAAAAATCTCCCCTTTGGAGAGCGTTTTGAAAAGATACGTTTCACCGGATACGTGTTGACGGTAGGCCAAACCGGAGAAAAAAATTCCGTTTTCAAACAAAAAACGGATACGTGTGGACGGGGCGGAGCGGGGCGCGGCGGGGGCCTAGATGTTTGGTTTTCCCAACAGATGTCCTAGGGGAACCTGACACTTTTTCTTTTCGGCGTAACTGATTATGCCCAGATATGCAGGTGACTCGGAACACTAAATTTGAAGGAAAGAGTATCTCTTGGCGAGTATTGGGAAAACAAAACATACATACAAGCTAAAGACAGTCTATTAAACCCCCAGAAGGCGAAGGGTAGAGGTCAACGCGCTTTGGATCACACGCAGTATTAATTACCGCTTAAGAATTATATCTTAATATCATTAAACTACTACATGAGAAATTTCTGCAATTTTATGGCTTAGAGCAGTGGTATTTCAGCTTAATTTGAAATACCTACATGTGAAAATTACAAACCAAAAAAGAGTAGTAGTATAAACAAATAATAGCATGATTTGTACGTGATATTTGGCATTTATGCCAAATATGACTACAAATCATGCTATTACCTATACTAAAATCGCCTTCCGTGAAATACCTGCGTAACAACGGAGGTATAATCATTATCAAATTCCCACGACTTTCTGGAAATACTACAACGGAAGTTGTAGTTTTTGCCTCCTGGTGACATGGTTCCTTTAAGAGGGCACTCGACAGTGTTGCGAAGACTACTGTTACCAAAGCTACTGTTACCAAGGCTACTGTTTCTTTGGTTAATGTCGTTGTTAACGCACCGCCAACTAGGTTCAGCTGCAATAAATGTCATCAGTAAAACAGGCCATCCAAACCAAAACCATTCGAGGATGTTGCACATCAAGAGCATCAAAAGCTGGAAGCGGCCAAAGCTTCCGATTTTATCAAAGACTTGGTCAGCGGTTAGAGCCATTTCTGTAAACGAATCAAAGGCCGATGTTTGAAAGCTAAATCAAAAATAAACTGAAAAGCAGCAGCGATAAACATTGTGAACTTTCACCTTTTTAAATCAACTTGTGTATCGTGAACTTTCGCGTTTCTATATTAACTTGACGTTTCGTATGCTAATCAATATATACATTCTCAAAAGTGATGAAAAGTTACCATTACAGAAAATGACAAAATTACCTCCCCCTTCCCCCCCCCCCTCCACCCCCCGCCCGAAGCCCCCTCGGTATTGAAAATAATTCGATTTTTAATCATATTATTGAAGAGACAGTAAATGCCAAACGGTTTTTGATCAGCACAGCCATAGCTTGTTTTGAAGCGCTGTTTCTATTTCAGTTATAAGACCTTCCGAAAACCCCTTAAGAAGATTACCAATGAAGCTCAGGGCAATATAAGCGGTATTTTACGGTAATTAGACCTCTCCAACGAAAACGTTTTAAAACTACAACGGTCAAAAGAAGCTTTATTTCACAGAATCTTTCAGAGGAGTTAGGGTTAGGAGATAATAACAAGAAAAGTAGCATAATGACGAGTTTTTACCTGTAGTAAAAACAGACTATTGTGAAAATGGTTACCATGGGAACTTCAATCATGAAAAATAAGGGATTGATTTTGAACATATTTCCTGATATATTTTAGGAAAAGCCATGAAATATGGAGGTTTTCGTTTAGGTTTATTCAAGCCATAAATAATCAAAATCAAGGGACTGGGCAAGTTTGAACTCCTCTTCATCAGGCAGCTAATTAATAAAGAAATTGCTGGTTTTCACTAAGAAATGAAAAAATGTTATGAGCCTGTTGTGCTTTTGTAGTTACCTCAGTTTCAAACGACAACGTAAAACAAGACATCAAAACAAAAACAAAAAGAATGGTAACAAAATCATAAAAATGAGAGGTGTTACGGACCGATGATTAGTTGACATATTCAATAATATATGCACAGTAGATATTTTTAGTTGCAGAGATTTGATCGAGTTCTGACATTCTGTTTTTGCCCTACTGAAACACCTAGCACGTAGTATTCGATTCTAGATTATTTTAAGACTTATTGCCCAAAATAACATTCATTTTGACTGTACATTAATTATTTATTCAACGAAAAGTTCTAATCATCGAAGGCAAGAGTGCTTTCTCAACTACATTCTTTTGCTTCTTAACCCTATTCAGACTGGGCTTTTTTGGTCAATCTGTGACTGGGGGGGGGGGCTCCTCGGACCCCCCCTCTGTATCTCTGGAACCAATAATGCTAGGGTCATGAAATTTACACACAATGATCATCTCCGTACAAAGAAGCCCCACACCCAGTTTTGACTTGCCACGCCCAATGATGACGTCACAGTGACGTCATATTCCGATTTTTCAATGTTTCTTATTATTTTTCCACTTAGATACGTAAAATATCAATAATATTGGTAAAGTCATCTCTTTGTTATCCTTTCTTATGAACTAGTAACAAGGAAACACTTGTACAGCGAGAAAAAGCAATAGGAAGTAATAAAATTTAAAATTTGAAATGGTTGTCCGCCATCTTGGATCCGCCATCTTGGATTTCCGTTTTTTTGTTAAAATTATAATTTAAAGCAACTTTCAAAGGGGAAAAAGCTCAGAATGTATAAAAGAAGTATCAAACTAATGTTTATTACCCAAACAAATGACTTTGGAAGTGTTATTTGGAAAATAGAGCAGCATATTTGTCAAAGCAAAAAAGTGACAAATTTTACCCCACCCCTCCCCCCCAAATATTCGATGTTGAAACATTTTGATGTAATTCAAAAACTAGTCCCAAGCAAAGACCATTTTAACAACAAAAAGCACTATAAGTGTAAAAACGCGATCTTAAAACAAAAAAATCACTATTTTTTAAATTTTCCAAAACCTATGTGTCAGAAACTGGTTGCCATGGCAACATGATTAATCACATGGACATGGTAATTATACCAAAATGTTCCTAGATAAATTTTAGGAAAAGTCAGTAAATTTGAACGTCATAGCTCTTTCGGTGTAGGAGTTATCACGATTTTGCCGGAGGGGGGGTTCGAAAAGCCCCCCCCCAGTCTGAATAGGGTTAACCTCACTTGCTTGTCCATCTTCAGTGGCGTATCTAGTGGGGGGGGGGGGACCTGGGGGGCCCGGGCCCCCATTTATTTTTAGACCAAACTGAGGCCCGAACACACTATCAAAGTCGTTTGCAAGTTACAGTCAAGAATCTTGGCAGCTCTTGTAGCTGAATATTCATTAACATCAATTACATATAAAGACCTATTCTTTTGAAGTTTATGATAGTTTTTAAAATCTATATTCAACAAAAACCCAACGTAAAGTTAACCTTAACTTTTGAAACCTGAAGGCTTAATCTCATAGCTGTTGTAGTTCAATGTATCTCACAGTCGAGTTACGTTTGGTTATCACTGCACTGGGTGAACCGGAACCACAGCGGCTTGGAGCCCACGTGGGGAGGAGTTGTTTACTTACTGCAAGGTTCCACTGAGCTTAAAGCCACTCAATGAGAAAAATACCGATTACATGTCATAAAGACACTGGAGAGACTGCTAAAAGAACAGAGCGCACAAACAGAAATTTAGTGTTAACATTTCGTTGGTCCTCCCGGCGCTCACCAACGCCTTAACGACTTACGAGCATGCATCGCGTGATATTGGTCTGCTTTTAGTTTTATTGCCGCTGTAAAACTGAGTAAAGTAAACTAAGCACTAAAGATACCGAGAATCTAAAGATTTCATTCATTGCTAAGAACATAACACTACCAAGAGTTTGCAAGGCATGATTTAGCTAAAACTGTTTTGACTGAAACTTAGCAGAGTGAAATATAGAAAGGGCGTCGTTTTTGCGACTATAAATTTACACCCTGAAGGTCAGTCGTGGAGAAGTACACCAGCCATATTAAGGCTGTACTTCTGAAATACCATGATTGTAAGAAAAAGAAATATTTCACAATACCTTAAATTATTAAGAATAATCCAAGACTTTACCTTCTCCTTAAGTTTCCTCAAACTTAAAAACTAAGCGGCGAATCGACACACTGAGCCGAACTGGACACGCAACACTGTGCACAATAAAGAGCCAGAATGCAAATAACACTGAATTTTTGTCCACTTGACTGGCAAAGCATAAAAATATTTTAACAATATTCATTTTTCCAGTAGATCATAAAGTTAACGCTACTGTATAGACCACCCGTTAGGAGATAACTAGAAATTTTCTGACGGACAATCCATGAGGACTGACTCCTACTGAATCACAGTTATGACAAAACTGCACAAGAAATTTGATTCAACTTAAAGTAAAAGCGAGGCATGGAAAGCGCTAGTTTATAATTAGTGCGGCAAGACTATGAAACAGAGTACCCGCTGGAAAGAAGAATTGTTCTTCATTTAACAGTTTGCTCGTCACTATTAGACAAAACAAAAATTCGTTTTTAAAAAGTGATGACTTTTTTATGAGGACCACTTCTAGATTATCGCAAGATGCTAAGTGCTTAACCCCCGAAAGTTCATTTTTCTTATCGTTGTTATTATCAGCCGCACGCTTTTGTTGATCTTTAAACTGGTCCATTTCCTGATACCGGGTAACCTCGGACAGTTCCCTTAGGTATCCATCACTTTCTTATAATTCTTGCTGTTCCCAGTTAACAAACTTTATGTAACGGCTGCAAGTACAAATCTTTTGCCGACTGCTCCGAGGGCGCCAAATGACGACAGGTACAAGTACAACCTCTTTACATTTCCACAGACGCCTCACCTCTTTTTTTCATGTCTTCGTATTTTTCGATTTTTTCTCGTCCTTTATTATTATTTAACCTTCGGTGTAAATGGGGCACCAGTGCAAGACACGAGAAAAAAAATCAACTGGAACAAAGTACCATGTTAAAGCTTATAAGATATATAGAAGAAGTTATAAGAAGTTATAAGATTTCGATAGTAATATATTTTTATTCACCCCTTGTCTCAGAGGTTTGCTTTTTTCTTCCTTTCGAACTACCAGGTTATATTTCTGTTATTATCATGATTATTCGTCTCATAATGACCCGTATTCACATGAATCTGTAACAGTACCCAATAAAGGGTCGGACACATAGTGCAACATTGCCTACAATATTGCGCACAACATTGCTAGCAACATTTGCTGAGCGGTTACCATGCGAGCAACAGAAGTATCATGACGCTTTAAACCAGCGGCTAATTTTTGAATATGAAAAAAATTTGACTGACCGAAGATTGAAAATGTACCCAAAGTTGAAAATGGTAGTTGTAACATGAAATGTGATGCGCACAGAGTTCAAGTAAAAAAGGGATTCTTCGTTTTTTTTTTTGCGAGAAATATTGTCGCAATATTGCACAGTGTACAGATGGCCTTAAGCTGGTCGCAATTAAAAAAAAAAACACTTGTCAACGATCTTAACGACGCGTTTTGGCAGATAATAGTTAGTTCAAAATCGTTGCGTTAGATTGCTAATCCTAAACAATGTTCCACAGTTATTTATCATTTTTCTCGCTTGTATATTTTTTTCACAAATTCCAAGAACACTTCTTTGGGGAGGTTCCCAGACTTTTGCGATATGAGTTCAAGAATGCTTTTGTAGCTTTCCTCTTCGTAGTCCTGATAAACTTTCTTCAAGTTCAGTTCATTGTATAATTCCTTAACTCTTGTGGATGCCTCTTGACTCTTAACTCCATAGTTGTTCTAAAAAGATATGGATAAAACAAAAGGAAATTTTGTGGAAAATGACAACAACCTTTTTATTATAACCACTACACAGTGATTACCTACGCCAAGTTATGAATGGGCAATTTTAAGTCGCTATGTGACGAAGACATTGCTTTACAAAAAATTGTCAATGAAGAGTTATGAAGACGTTAGCAAACAAATTTTATCACGGAGCAGAAACCATAACCATTTCTTGATGATTTTTCCACGCATAGCATCAGAAATCGAAAACGTTGGCCCAATATTTTCAAGTTCGAATCCAGAATTTTTCTTGATCAAATTGTAACTACATGTACAAACCTGGTAATGAGGGCACAAAGAAGCGGTTTTAAGACACATTTCACAATAATGTTGCACTTTTTCACCAATTGATTGTGTTCATCAATATGCATGTTAAGGGAGGGTGGAGTAGGCAATAGGGACCTTACCAAACTATGGCGACAACGGCGACCGCAAAAGCAACGTCAAAAAGCAATAGGTTTAGTAAGCTAAAAAAAAAACTCTGCACATGCATCGCGCTTTTTTGACATTTCTTTGCCGTCTCTGCACAACTACGACATGAAATGACCAAATTTAAGTTTTTTCGAGGACGGGAACGGCAAGGCGATAAATTCTACCATCTCAGGCTGAACTCGGGCGCGGCCCCCTCTCTTCAGTTCCAATCTAAATTCCCTTCTTTTCAGGTAATGTTACACGAGACGATTCGCAGTTTAGCACAAAACAGCGTTGTAACATTGTTTTGATTGGTTACAACATTGTTCCAACATTGCAACGCTGTGTTGCGCTAAAAATCGTCGTTGCGAATCGACCGGTGTAACATCACCTTTAAGTAACAGGACGATTTGGGAAAATCGCGAAATGGTTTGAAAGGATGCGGAGTCTATTTCTCAGTGACGTTTTCATAGACGTCGCCGTTGTCGGATCGTAAGGTCCCTAATAAGCACCGACAACGGCAACGTCAAACGAGAACGGCAAAAAAGCAATAGGTTAAGATCGGCAAAACAACGACTTTGCACGTGCATCACGCTTTTTTGTACATTTCTTTGCCGTCACTGCACGACTACGACGTGAACATGCCTAATTTCACGTTTTGTGGAGGACGTGAACACAAGACAACGACTTTCTTTTTCTTTTCCTGAACTTCGATGCAGTCTTTTAGAATCCATGCAACCCCAGAAAAAAAATTGCCGACATTTCACAAGTTGATGGAATAAGCGCGATAAAGTTTAAAGCAGTGAAACTTTGCTTTTAAAGTGACGTTTTCGTAGCCGTCGCCGTTGTTGTTGCTAAAGCTCCCTAATGACTAAGCGTGGCTTTTACAATGCAGTAGAGGATATGAGCAGAATTTCTTCAGCCTTTCAGCTTCAGGAAAATGAAACTACTTTCACAGACTACAGGAGTATAACATGATTCATACCTTTAACATTTCCATTTGTTCTGTGGTAATTCTCTGAATTGCCTGCACCACAAGCCATGAACACTTGTTCTCTTCAATATCTGTTCCTACTTTACCTGTTACTGCAGGGTCACCATAGCAATCTAGGTAGTCATCCTGTGCACACAAAAAAATGAAATTCGAGTTCATCCGGGCCTCTGTATCAAAACGAGGGTAAGTGCTCAGCCTTTGATATGGAAATGATTTTTCATTCTCATGCAAATAAACCTCATTTTCAGAAGAAAGGTTGTGTACTTGGCCTCATTCTGAAAGTGAGGGTTTATGAACTCGGAGGTGGCCTATTGACATCGATGTGCAGTGCACATAAACACATCACAGAATTAAAGAAAAACTGGCCTCAAAAAAGCTGGAAAAACAGAGAAAACGCTATAAAGTCATGAATAATGCCCTCATACCTGTATTTGAAAAAATTCCCCCATGACCAGCAAAATTTCCCTTGCATTCTCATGAGACTGTGCGTCCTTTATACCAGCCTACACAATCAAAAAGTAACAAAAAAAAACGAAATTGCAAAATTGAGTAAGATTGTTATACATTCAATGCAATGTTATGGAAATGAGGCAAAAAAAAACTTTGTCCTTTATTTATACGATTCAAACTCATGGCTCCGACAAGAGGAAGTGGAACACATCATGAACAACTGCCATGTATTTAACCACCTTGGAGCTTATACATTTTTAGTGGTTCTGGAATGGGAGCAAATGGGAGGCAGCGAAGGGCTTTAATAACCTTTCAAGGATCTTTTATATCATTATAATTATAAATTAACAAGTAAGGGTATGTACATTGATATTTTTTTAACGTTAAGGCAATAAAAAGTTCAGTTATTTCTACAAACAAAAACATGTGTGCAACAAATTGTTTAGTGAAAGTTAAAACTGAATATCGCATTCAGATACCGTAAAATTCCGAATCAAGCCCCAAGGCTTATATTTTTCAAAGGCCCTTTTCGAGGGGCTTGAGAAATTTGCGTTTCAAAATCTGCTAGGCTCATACTTGCAAGAAAATTTGCCCCTCAAATCGATTGGGCTAGCTTATAGCTGGAAGGAAATTTATGTCACTCAGTAATATGCACAAAGTTTTTACTGAAACTCGCCTTGAGGATGTAGATCTTTCTAAAACTCAGCCATGCAAGTACTTTATCTATATGGACGCAACAGCAATAAACTGTGACACTTTCTGACGCGTGCAATCATTTGGCACAAGTAATAGTTGACCATAGTCCTTTGGCAAATTAAAAAAAATTACGTTTTTGCTTTGTTTTAAGTTGTAGTTGAGGGCAAATTCCAAGTACAAGCCCCCGAGGGCTTATATTCGGAGGGGCGATTTAACGGAGGGTTTTTTGCATTACGAATTTGAGGGGCTTTTATTTGGAGGGGGTTATTTTCGAAATTTTACGGCATGTCACTTTAACATTAGTATCTTACCGCAATTTATGACCATCAAGTTTAGGGGTAGGAATGTTTGCAAACCCTCGACTTCGTCCCGGGTTTGCATAACTGTCTCAAATTCTCCCAACCCCTCTCGTGTTTGTATCAGGCTATGCAAACACGGAAAACGTTTTCTATTGCTTAAACATTTGTTAGTTGGAGGCATGTGTGGCTGAGCGGTCAACACCTCAAACTCCGGGTGGAGGTCCAGGATTCAAGCCTGGCCCGTCAGGTAGAGATTGAAGTTTACAATATTTGGGACTGAAATAACTCTCTGTACTAGAGAGACATCTATACCAAAGAGGTGTCAATATTAAAAGGTTCAACTTAAGATCTTGCTGTGTCTACTGACGATATCCTATGTCCAGGCCAGGTTGCAATAGGTTTAAAATTTTATACAGGCAAAAGAAACCATACAAACACTTACCATATACATTGCCAAGGCCACTGGCAAATAAAAAGAATAAAATGCAGTCTTGAATTTCACAATTGCTTTGTATCTAAAACAGTGAACAGACAAGACAAAAACCTAAAATCAATTAGGTCTGACGATAGCCTCCAAACTATTAATGTCTTACCAATGTTTAATTGTCCTACCATTTTGCTTGCCTTAAACATCTCAACCTGATCCTGCTTCTAAAAATCTTTTTTTGTAGTGTTTTTAGCATGTTTTTTAGTGTCTTTTAGCATGTGACGCGGAAATTTTAAGGGGTTAGGTTAGCATTACAAATCAGTCATTTGTTGATGGCACAAAGCTGTTGCATAGTGTTGAGGAACCAAACAAACGTTTAACAGAGAAGAGCTTATAAACCACAACATAGGCCCTTCAGACTAGTATTTCGACACAGAATAGTGAAATATTGGAGAGCATTAATTGTCATCATCCATTCCATTTCCTGCCCAGAAAAAAACCCCAAAAATTCCCCCATCTTGTCCACAGAGTGACAAAATTCTAGTTCCAGCTTCCCCCCTCTTCCTAACTATTCTGCATCCAACCCTCAAATATTCTGTCATACCACATGTGGTAGCAAAAAAAGGCTAATCCTGCATTCTACCAACCCTATGTGGGGCCCTCACTGTTATTTACCACCAATTTTTCATACACGTACATGTACTTCATGGTAATTTGAGTTTTCCTCGGCAACTCCCCATAAATAAACTAACCATGCAAAAGACAAGCCACCTGAATGACTTTGTAAATGCTTAATAAAGCCACACAAGAGAGAAACCTCTGCTCGCAGGGCCATATGTGTGTGTACATACCTCTCTAATGTAAAGTTCTCAAAATTTTTTCCAGGCTGAGTCATTAAGTCCAATGTTTGTCCTGTTGCAGTTTGATACGTAACCTACATTTATATCATAGAGATAATTTAGGAAATAAATGAATCTATTATAAAACAAAGATATTGAGTGCTAACTAATGGTAATACTAAACAGAATATGTATAGACGAAAGAAATCAGAAACTTTTTCTGAGTTTTCTGAATTGAAACCACCACCTTCCAGACACTAGTCAGATGCTCTAACAAAATATAATGAGCTACTGAGAACTCTAGAAATGAGCACTGTTTATTAGTAAACTGACTGAATAACCGCATTGCACAATCGCATTATGCAAAATGAACAAATGAATTATCTGCATCACACAGTCATGTAAATACTCTCTGAACAATGAATAGTAAAAAGGAAGAATTGCGTGGAGAAAAGAACTCAGAAAAAATTTCTGAGTTCAGGATGGGAATTGGACCCATGGCCCTACAGACACTAATCAGATGCTCTAACTACTGAGCTACTGAGAACTCTGGTGATGAGCAGGTCATTTGAGGGCCAACATAACGACTGCATTGTACAGTCACATAAAAGATTATAACCTGGAAACCAACATGGCTTGAAACAGCGACACAGGACAGCAGAAATAGTGACAAGTGACACAAAGATGGTTTGAAACTGTGACAGTGACAGAGAAAATCACAATACAATGATAAAAATTAAATAACAGTGGCATGGCTTAGTTCCTCCTCAATAAGCGAAATGACAGGTTTTGAAATTCCAAGTACAGACAATTTCGTATTCTAACGTCCCTAAGAGGGCCTCACTAATGAAAGTTATAAATAAATAAATAAATGCCACTGAGATATCATATACCTCATGAAACAAATCCAACACATCAACATAGTACGGTTTCTGACGCAAATGCTTCTTAAGCAGTTTGTAAATAGTTGCTTCTATGAGAAAAGAGTCATTTATAGCAATACTGCCAACTCCAGTCTAGTAAACAGAAAATACAGAACAAAATCATGGATTCAAAATAATTCTTTCAAATGTTGCTACAACAATGAAAATAGCTAGGAAAATTTTAGTTGATAATTTTTTACAACTACATTGTATTTTTTTTAAATGAGGTTCTGCAATATAATTCTATTGCATTGCCTCAAACCACAGCCTATAATTTTTTAAGCTTTCCAGAAAGGAATGGCTCGAACCACTGGAATTTCTTATGCCCCGGCCAGCACACTAATTTTGGACACAAGTAAATTGTGTTAAATGTGATTTGTCTTGCTTTCACCTTAATTTTAACATAAAGCAAAATATAATTATCAGCTGCATTATAGCATAATAATTTTATTGTAATAATTTTAGAATGATTCTCATGAATTAAAAATCTAATCTGTCACCTTTCTGTACCAGCATGGCTTGCCTCTCCTTGTCAGTGATTCATCCATGATGTCATCAGCAACCAAAAAGAATGCTTGTAACTAAAAAATATAAGGTTAAAAAAAAGTTAGGTGCACACAAGCCACAGGCCCAAACGGCTGGAGCTTATTCCAGATTCCTTAACATGAAACATGCCTAGAGCATTGCTTTTCCCCCACCCCTTGCAGTATGTCACAGTGCCCTTTTATACACCTGGGTGAAGACAGACAAAGTAGAATAAAGTTCCTTGTCTAAGGAAACAACCTGATGGGCCAGGCTTGAAATTATCCTGGACCTCCAGATTGAGACCCAGAGTTTGAGATGTTGACCGCACAGCCACACATGCTTCCAACTAACAAATATAACCATCATTTTAATATATTATAATCATCAGAGCACATGATGTGAGCAGACAATGTGCCATCAAGCCCTAGGATTTCAATTAAATCCCATGGAAAACAATTTCTTGATTCCGTGCCCAAAGTCATTGGAAACCATCTGCACCAATTTTTTGGTTCCATGAAGATGCCCCATTTTTCCATGAAAATGCACTTTTTTTGCACATGCACCACTTCAAAAACAGTATTGAAATGTTAAACAAGACATCAAGGGCCACTTTATTCTTGCCCAGACCACTAAGACTTCAAGGAACTTTCCTGATTGGCCACCAAGCACTGGAGTTAATTTTAAACCCAGGTGTATTTTTAAAGATCGAGAGTCAACTGTAACTATTTTAAATGGTTTTTGGCAATAAAAAACCAACATCAACATCCAGGGTTGTCACTAAGATTTCCACTTGCCGCGTAAATACAACAAGTAGGCAGGGAATCAGACAGCTAGGGATTTCTTTTGGTTCTATTTTTCTTCTATATTCCAATGAAAGTAGCCTGGGACCACATTCATAGTAGCCAGGGCTCTTAATGACTGCCCTGAACATCAACACGTTGAAAAGCTTTTGTTCAACAGATGGCAATGAAGTAGTTTATACTCATGAAAAAAATCAGGCAAATGAGTTTTGACATTTTACTTACCCACTCAACACACCATCCAAGTATAACTGCAGTTCTTACATCCTCTTTGGTCAGATTATCAGGGCTTATAAGTTGACGCAAGGAGGCAACCACAGAGAGACCACGATTCCTTTTCCCTATAATGTGAAATTATTAGAAAAAGACTTTAATACATTGATTAGTACACGTCAAGTATCTAACAGAACTGTGCTCTAGCAGCTCCCAGTGACTCCTGACACCTTGCTCTTAGGTGACTTGGAAATCTTTCCAGTTTTTTATACAAATTCTATGCTAGACACCCTGGATTTCACAGCTTCAAGTTTGTGAAAAGTGCTAAAAGGCCTTCCTCATTAAATACCTATCAATTGGCTGGCCATATGTAGAGTACCAAATTAATGTGCTATCTATTACTTGACTTGGCTGGAGTAATTTTTCCGTACCCTTTCCCAATTTACAATCATGCCTTTTTCTGGCATACGTACTGGATCTGCCAAGGCTGTGTTAGTAAATAAAAGTAGGAGACTGTAGAAAAAAATAAATAGAAAAGTCTAGATTTTAGAACTCCAGAGTTTGGTATCTCTGTAGTTAGTCCCAATGTCCTGATCATTATCCAGAGTGCTGTTTCAGAGAGGGTATAAATTGAGGTTTGGCTTTAGTAACATGTACGTGTAGGCAGAGGTATCAATTAAACAGTCTCTAATTGTGATGTGTGGAATGTTACCCATTAAAAGAAACTTACAATGAGTGCATTCCATTGAGATGATAAGGATCAGGATCACTTGGATCGTAGCACATCAAAGGAATCAATGAATCCATTCCGGGAAAGGATTTATCAGTTCATTTGATGCACCATCATGGTCCCAGTAGAGTGTCACTGATAAAGATCGTCCCAAAGGAATACAGTCCATTACAATACATTGCTTTACATGGTTAACAAAGTAGTATGCTTTTACATGACACAGAAATACAAAAAAACGTTTGCAAAGGAAAACTGTTAGTGGTGAACTGTTGCTCTAGAACACTGTAAAGAGATCAGAGAAGCCCAAAATAAAGCACATCGTATTGTCTGCAGTTTTGCTTCCAAACCTGACATCCATTCAATTTGCTCATCAAGCCCATATGTTTTCGACCCTTGTTAAAAATAAGAAAACCTTTTTTTTTACATCACAGATCCCAAATAATATACATCAAGAAGTTTGAGAAAGTTAAAACTCATAGTTTCTACATACCTCCAGGGACATTATACTCTAGCACCTGAAATATGAACAGAAGTCAAAGGCCAGTATTAGGTTTGTTCCATTATCATGAATCATAAGAGGTTGGACAGAAAAGAATGACTAACACTGCGTTTGTTTTTCCAGGAGAAAGGATGTGGTACCCTGCTTAGAAGGGTTTGTTTGCCGCATAGATTTTAGCATTTACGCAAATATCAGCTACATGAAAGACTTCCTAAACACTACAAACACTGTGCCAAAAAAAACTGCTAGGAGGGCAAGGCTGTGGGTGTTTTGGCAGTTGTATCTATTCAAAATAAATCAAGTTCTGATTTTTTTTTTTCAAAAAAAAAAGATCCCGTTTGTGCAGTAGCCTAAAGAGTGGGTGTTTTACATGTATATTCCTTTGCAAAATGATTTCACTTCAAAAAAAATTAATATTGAAACTTTTAACATGTCAAGAATGTGAATTCCCAAAATTTGCTCCTAAAATTGGTAAATGAAAAACAAATTCACAGATTAATGTTTCCTATCGATTCCCCCAAATTTATAGAGCTTTATATGGAGATGCTACATTGGTGACCAACTGGACGGGTAACAATATGGTGGCCAGAAACCAACAGAAAGATCTGTCGCTGAGTTTTACTATTAGCAGTCCGGAATATCCCTAAGTTTCAGGACAGGGCCAACTGGTCACGCGACACTTTTCAACCAATGAGAAGGCGCGCTTGTGTTTATCAACAAACAAATCAAAACATCGCCCCAGTGATCAAAAATTTTCAAAACAATGGACGAAGTCGGGCAGAATCAGTCATCGTTTCGAGGTTCTCAGGCATATTTTTAAGACTTTTCATGAGGCATACACAATTTTTTTAAGTGGACAGCGTATCGGAAGCCATATTGGAAGTGTCTCGTGAAATATTCAGCACATTTTGTGGCTTATTCTTCTTTTATCTTTTAAACAACGCGATGTACAGGAGAGATTTTGGTCGGCTTTCAAGGTAGGTGAACAAGTATCTATTATTTTTTCGATTCACAGATTTTTTTACGAAGTTCTAGATATTTTTCCTCGATTGTCATATCGCTTAACTTTTATCATGTTGAATGTGGGGGTGGCAGACAACCTAGAAACACGTACGTTTTCCACTCCCGGGTTTCTCACAAAAGCCGTGTTATTACTTTTCTTCGCATTAGTACGAGCCTTTGCCTTTTTTTTCAAGGCCAAAACAACTTTATTAGTCTTATGGATATTCACGTCCAACATCTCGCCTCACTTTGCCGAATTTGCGGGGACGAAATTGAAGATCATAAGCGCAAGGTAGATACTAACCGCTTTGTTTCTGAAATTCACTAATCTGGAAAGATTTAATGTAGTTGGATTCTCCAAATGTTCATCCGCCGTTAAAAAACAATCAAAGAAACAAGGCAAATCTCAATTGTAAAGGCTGTATTTCGCTACTCATTGAACATGCACTGATTATTTGGGATACAATTAAAACATTGCAGGTACTACAGCGAGCAAAGAAAGCACCAGATGCGTGAAGTCAACACGAAACAACACAAAAAAAACAAACAAGAAAAATTAATAAATTTGAACTACTTTCTATTCTTGTTATGATGACTGGTTCTTTGATTCTTGTCCTGTAGAAGTTAATAGGTAGTGCCAATGCTGTTTTGTACGATTGCAACAAATTTTCACACTCTCTCTAAGGCTAAATTTACACGGGACGAGTTTGCTTCTATCAAAAATCTTGCAAGCCATGCCAGTGAAGCCAAGACCTCGATCCGATCGGTCCGGAATCAGTTCGCATTCCTTGCAATGATTAATGCTCTTATTCTCTTACATGACATGTTTTCTTTGAAATATTAAATGTGAAACCTAGACGAGTACTGTAAGCTCATCTTTAATTCTGTCCGACTCCGTCCGTTGTTTTGAAAATTTTTGATCACTGGGGCGATGTTTTGATATTTGTTGATAAACACAGGCGTGCCATCTCATTGGTTAAAAAGTGGCACGTGACCAGTTGGCCCTGTCCTTAAATTTAGGGATATTCCGGACTGATTAGTTAAATGTGAATTCATCTCTCAAGGAAATCACGAACATTAAAATGGTGTCTTTTCTGAGACAATGATTGTTCAGATAGCAAAATAGCCCAAAATAAGTCACTTTCTTTACCTGCANCCCCCCCCCCCATCCCTCTAAAGTAAGCTCCCCATCTCCATTTAGCCCCTCCCTCAAATAGTCTTGAAATAAATAAGCCCCCTGGGGGGCTTAATAGAGGATTTATGGTAAATAAAACCTTAAAGGTAAGATTTCCGTACAACTCCATAAATTTATTATAACACGCATGCAGCAATATTCATGAATAATAAATGTATGGGACTGTATGGAAATCTCCGTGGAAATCGTTTCCAAATTCTACAGATAATAAATTAACTTAGAAGGTCCCTAGCGGTGCTTTACGCAGTTGGGCTGCCTGTGTTCGTCCGGACCCAATTATAATATGCCGGCCGGCCCATATCACGAATATAAACATAATTTTTATAAAATCTACTTTTTAGCTGCTATAAAAATTTGCTTTGTAACTCCCCCCCCCCCCCCATCCCTCTAAAGTAAGCTCCCCATCTCCATTTAGCCCCTCCCTCAAATAGTCTTGAAATAAATAAGCCCCCTGGGGGGCTTAATAGAGGATTTATGGTAAATAAAACCTTAAAGGTAAGATTTCCGTACAACTCCATAAATTTATTATAACACGCATGCAGCAATATTCATGAATAATAAATGTATGGGACTGTATGGAAATCTCCGTGGAAATCGTTTCCAAATTCTACAGATAATAAATTAACTTAGAAGGTCCCTAGCGGTGCTTTACGCAGTTGGGCTGCCTGTGTTCGTCCGGACCCAATTATAATATGCCGGCCGGCCCATATCACGAATATAAACATAATTTTTATCTCCCCTTTTCTCATCTAGATAGTAAGCGCTAGCCTTACTCACCACCACGATAGGAGTTGATACGTTTTAAACTGAGCATAAAATAAACTGACAGTAACTACAGCAGTAATGAAAGCTATCTTTACACTGATTTATGCTTACAAGCAGTGTCAAACGGCAGTTCATATTACCTCTCGAATATGACGCACGGCATCCCCTATTTCTCTGTCATTTTCACATTCTTTCACAATGTCATCAACCAGTCCTGGGAAAAAGGTATCGAAAAGTTCGCGATCATTCGACGGTTTCAGGTTTTCAGCCATAGAAAAGAATGGAGTGCAAGTGCGAGTCGATCGCGGAATTCATTCAAACTCGTTCCCAGGGCATCCTCTGGAAGGAGAAGAGAGAGGAAACTAAGAACGAATTAATGTTTCACGCACAGTCTCACCAAGGTTAAGGCTCCGTCGGAACGTTATTTTTCCGGTTACGCCTTCACACTATTCCGCACGAATCCGGATAAATTCTCCATCGAAAACGGTCTCCAGAGTGGAAGAATTTAAAAACGCCTGCTAGCCGTATTAGTGTGGACGGAAAACATTTTGAAAACGAAACTTTTCGAAACCGGCGACGCTCGGCGACCACAGGTAGCCCAAGCTGCAGCCAGGCCTGCTACTTACCTAATTAATACGGAAACAATTATAAGACGTTGTATGAGAATTATCCTACTTCGCCATAATTGAGCGAAAGATGCATTATTTTTTTCCTTTAAAGCTTGCATTTAGTATTTTCTTATTTTTTTGTGTGTGTCGAGACTGCGTTTCACGTGTTAAGCTTGTGTTAGGATGCCAAGAACTCGAGAACAGCACTACTATTACAACTACTACCGTATTTTCACAGCAACAAAATTGTAAGAGTCGTATGCGAAATAGTATTTGCACACTAAACTAATAAAATGTGCATTGAATATCGCTTTGAAGCTTATTTTTAGCCTTTCAGTTGTTTTTCTTTGTATTCTGACTGCATTTCAGACCTCCTAGGCACTGTTTAATGACTCTTTTCAGGGGCACCCAACGAGAATATAGTTCAAAACCACTTAAACATAGCATTGGTAAACGTATTTTAGTATTTAAACGGTAGATATAGGCATATTTTTATCCCCTAAAAAATTTTCATCTGTTCGGATTTCCTAGCTGAAAGTCTAGTAATCCGAAGATTATAGGGATCAAAACTTACGTTTTCGAAAATTTCAGCCAGAAAAAAGGAGCGACGACAGTTTTTCACCCAGATGACAGTAGAGAGAAGAAAAGGGAACTGGTTGGCAAACCTGTCTTGACCGAGTCCGCTCTCGGAGGCGACAACTCTTACTTGACACCCAAATAAAGTGCATTATTAAAGGAGATCTTTAAGGTTATTTCTGTTGCCGTAGAAGGTAAAACGTTTTCGAAAAAAAGGCGACACGATGTTCTGGTGAAATATTTTGGCTAGGCGCGCTCTATTTTTAAAATACTGAAATTTCTATTTTTCTGCTTCCTTTGTATTTTCCTCGGTAATTTTACCCGATTTTCAGTGCATAAATCTTAAAAACTCTTGGAGAAATATCTCGAACTTTTTAAAAGGGTATATAAATTACCGTAAAATTCCGAAAAAAAGCCCCGGGGCTTATATTTTTCAAAGGCCCTTTTTGAGGGGCTTATATTTGGAAGGGCTTATTTATATATGGAGGGAAATTTGCGTTTCAAAATCGATTGGGCTAGTTAAAAGTTGGAAGGAAATTTATGTCAACAATTTGCAGAAAGTTGTTGCTAAAACTCGCCTTGAGGACGTAGATCTTTCTATCTTCAGCTGTGCAAGCCAAGAGAGAGTGAACTACGCAAACAACAATATACTGTGACGCCACATTTGGCTCACGTAGTAGTTCTTTGGCAAATGCAAAAATTTGTGTGTTACTGTACAGTTTTTGCTTTGTTATATTTTGAATTTGAGGGAAATTTCCATCCATAAGCCTCCGGAGGCTTATATTTTGGGGGGCTAATACATGGAGGGGCATATTTTCTGGATTTTACGGTATCTCATAACAAACCAAACGAGTTCTCAAGTGCATTTTAATTTAGTCCTGTGGGCTAGTAAACTTTGCAATTTGCGAATTTACCGGAAACACCGTCTAAAAATTTTTTTTATAAATCTAGGTAAATATCATCTGCCACTTTTGAAAGAAGAAACGACACTACGAAACCGACCTATAAACAAAATGAAAAACAATATTATAAACACAGTTTGTAGTTCTCCTTTATAGTTGTGCTGTTGCTTCACTGCAGGTCTGAAAAGCTCGCTAAATTGGATCAATGTAAGTTTCTGGGAAACTGCCCACCTACCCCTCCCCTAAGCCATCATTTTGCTCCAAATTAAGTGAGAACAAAGTGTTAATATTAGCTTATGGGGAGGGGCAGGTAGGCAGTTTGCCAGAAACCTAAATTGCATTGGATTTAATCAAAAAGGATTAACAAACAGCAAACAGCAAACAGCTAACGAGCGAGGACACCAGTTTTCCTTATCTTTTACAAAAAGCGAAGGCAAACAATAAGTCGTTATGCCTTAAGACTAGCAGCACTAGCTTTTATAATAATGCCTAAAAAAATTCCTTGAACAGCGATGCGATATTTTTCGTCTAATACTTCACAGCTGGCGATTGAGGTTTCTTTCGCAGTGAGCCTCCACTTGCGTACCCCGTTCAAAGAAGTCATTCCCGGCTAAACGTTCAAATGAAACCAGTTTTAAGATGGTGACAGTATTTTGCCTTGCACTCGTTTGTTGGTAAATCAAAAGGCATCTTGTTCGCGGTCAACACCCTGCAGAGCGATTCAACTCCGCGATACACTCTCATTAGTTCCGTGAATAGTGCAAATCCTGAGAAGATATGGACAATCATTTGAATTTTCTGAATTTCCATGGCACATATAAAGGAATATTTTCCTACCACAAGACCGTAAAAAAATAAAAATAAAAAAGACAGCAAAATCCTTGAGCGCTTTCCATTTGTTTGGAAAACCCGGAAATTCCAGGGAGAATTCAAAAGGAACGGTTCATCTCGGTGGAAATTTCCCGGAAAAAAGTAAAACATTTCGTAGTATTACCTTTTCCCCGTTTTTACCGAAACGAATGAATGGTTTTCTGTACTATTTGTCTGCATTACCAGTGCCAGGCTTCATGTCGAGAGGAAGCGAAAAATTTACCGGTATTTTGTTAATGGTACAACTCAATCCCGTTCCTGTTTTTGGTNTCCTGGTATTACCTTTTCCCCGTTTTTACCGAAACGAATGAATGGTTTTCTGTACTATTTGTCTGCATTACCAGTGCCAGGCTTCATGTCGAGAGGAAGCGAAAAATTTACCGGTATTTTGTTAATGGTACAACTCAATCCCGTTCCTGTTTTTGGTGCCAAAAAAACACCAGTAGCAGTTTACGGAAATTTTTCACCAAAATTCCGTACAAATGGTCACGCTCCTTCTCTCGGCTGACGGCGAATCATTCACGAACTAAGATTAGGAATAAGCGCTTTCAACTTCCGTTGATTTCAACAGCCAATCAGATTCTGTGGTATTGTTCTAACAGCCAATCAGCGTTGCGGCCAAAATCTGGCCGCAGTGAGCACAAGTTTGTGAGACTTTGGATCAGGCCCAATTTTAGCGGGAGCAACTAAGAGAAAATGTTTGAGACTGCTAAAATTGGGCCTGTCTCAGGTTAGTCTAGCCCCATTGTGCTTTGTGCTTCGTTTGTTTACCTTCCCCCCTCTCTTATCTTGGTCTAGTCCTATCGCCCTCTCTCTTGGACTCGCATATCGCGTAACGTATCTCTCAAGTATAGTGAGGACGTATTAAACGAGCAAAGCGAAAATAAGACGCGCGCGACTTGGCAAAGCGGGCGGTGGCCCCCGCGCGTTTTCTTATTTTTGAACGACTGTTCATTTTCACCACTATTGTCCAGCGGTTTAAGCACTCAAGGAGTCCAGGTCATACAGTACACTTCCGCTTTTTAGATCCGCCCCCTCACCCCACTCCAGTTACAGCTAAATCATAAAACAATGTTGCCATAGCAGGCCAAATGCCCAAATTTTATCACGGCTAAAAATCCTACATGGAGTGCTTCAGGCTAAAACTGCTACACAAAAACGAATTTAAAAATTCTTTAATTCTGTACAAAGTAAAAAAGTGTATTTACATACAAAACAAATCGTTTGTAAAAAAAAACAAGGCAGTGGAACTACTGCAAACGAAAAAAGCCACTGCTGGAGCGTAGATAGTCCTCGAGAACAGATGTTTTTGACAAAAAGACCCGAAATACCTGTGCTCTCGTAGGCTAGAATTCTGCCTCGGTACTTCTACACACTATGGAAAATAACACAACCAATACAGTATTCTATTCAATGTAAGTTAAGCAATAACACAAATGGCGAAAAAATAATTATCATTCGCATATGTGTTATTGCTCTTTTAAGAACGGTAAAATTTGTTCTACGCTACGAATATAAAGATGATTTTAACACTGGTTAGGAGTGAATATTTTACTATAGATATGCAACACTCACTATCCACTTCAATACCTAAATGATTTCTTCTGTCTTGTAATTGTGTAAAGGTACTCAAATAATTACGTATGATTTGATATGTAAGGCACACTCCATTATACAGGAAAACCAATGATTCTAATTTAACCCCATCAAGAATGATTGAACTATTTTAATGTTAGAGAAAATTGAGTCACGGATAAACTAAAGGCCATAATGGCTCTTGGTCCTTCTGTATACTCCAAACAACTGACTTGTTATTTTGGAGTCAGTGATTTTAACCTATTCACACGTCACCAAAAACCTAAATACCTGTCAAAAAGGATCACAGACTAGCCTGTTCTAGGCGCTCAGAGAGTGGAGAGTGGTGCGAAATGGAGAGCGAAGGAGAAAAAGGCGGAAAAGCGGTAACCCCCACTCCCTTCGCTGTTTTCCTCTCACTTTTCTTTCCGCCGTCGCACTATCTGAATGCCAGGAACATTCACTTGACTCGACTTACTATCAGTTCAAATTTACAATCAAGTATTATTGATAGCTTAATAATTTGATATTGGGCGAATCATTTCAAACCCAAAGCCCGCCCTCCAATCATTTTCAAAAAATTAATGTCTCAAGTCTGAAACTACTGTTCAATAATAAAAAAATATCAGACAGTCTAAAAATTGCTAGGTCTTTTTCTTACTTATAAACAGGATAATTAGATACTTATATATAATTTTTCACTAACTCTGATTCTGGTATGTCAGAACGGAAGATAAAACTAATCTTGAAAGATTTTGAAATGAATAATTATGCAGAAACAAATACACAAATTTATCAACTGAATACAAAACAGAATACTTACCTTTTAGTAAGTATACAAGTACTTAAAGCAAAATATTTGATATTTCAATTACTCTCTTACAAATCAGATATTAATAACAAGTCTAAGCTATCTTGCACTGCAAGAATTACTTTTTACCTTATAACAACAAAAATATGCTTCAGGGCAACTTTAACTTAAAAACGTCATCAAATTAACAAAATAAAAATCAGTACTCTAAGCAAGAGAGGATTCAAGGTGGTTTGCTAAATTCTCCCAACCTATGATATGTTTTATATAGGGTACAAATCAAAGTTTGACCAGTTAGTGGTTGTCCTAATTATTATACAGTCACACTTAACTAAACCTCTGATTCTTTAAACCCAAATGTAAACCAACAACACAGTCAAAATCTGTACAACATTGTAAAATTTGGATAGTGCTACTACCATCACGTTATTCAAACTTGAAGTTTACAATGACAAGCCTTGCCAACCGAACGGCAAAAACTTGTAATCAATGACAACGACAAATCTGCCGTGCTATTGGCATCCTTCAAAGTTCATTGTAATGCAATTCACGGTTCGTACAGATGTTTGGATGCGAATGCAAGACTTCTTTCAGACGTTTCTAAAGCATATAATTTCTATGTCCCGCCTCAATTTTGTCCAAATAAGCGATCAATAGAGACCTCGACGAACACAGAAACGAGGCTTTCCCATAATGCACTGTAAACGTACAATATCCACGGTGCAACGTGGAGTGAAACTTCTCATTCTGCATCATGACTGTTTCTGCTACAGATGCGAGTTAGTAACATTTGACTAGCGCAATCTTCATTCTATGGAAAAAAATTCACTTAGCAATATCAGTTACAGTCTCCAAGCCATTTTCCCTAACTTCATCATCTTTATTTTGCACACATTTTCCAGGTCTGGAAAATTGGCTTGAAGATTTTAAAACTTTTCTAGAAAATACAAGACTGTACGAACCCTGGATTGTTTTGAATAGTTTTGGTGGTCTTAGATCAACTTTAAAAGTTTTGCAAGATCGAAGTCACTTCACTGAATGGCAAATAACTTCAACCTTCTTCCTAACGATTCAGTATGGGTAAAAAAAAACAAAAAAAAAACAACAACAACAAAAAACATTAATTGCTCCGGTTTGACCATTAATAATTATAGTTATTGCTACTTTTTATATTAAATTATCTGTATTTTTTTAGTAGAAAAGGGCACCTGTACATTAACACGCTAGATCATGTGCCAAACAGAACAGAATTACAAGATTTTCTTGGCAACCCTTGATGTGTTTAAGCGACTGTTGTGGTGGTGCTGAAGTGAAGTGTACGGGCTGCGGGTCTGTAACTGGCAAGGAACTGATGTGCTTGCCGTGTAAGCAGCTGCTGATCTGGAGTCTTGCCGCAAGCTACTTGTTCCCATTTTGAGTCAAGCTGCTGACATAAAAGTGATACATGTATGTGTCAGTAAGAGCTCACAAACAATAAAGCAAAAAGCTTAGTGCCATCAAAAAAATGAAACCATATAAACCGTTAAGACTGGAATTTGAGTTTGTGTAAAAATTAATGAAGCTTGAAAAAAACACTTGAATTTTTGCTTGTCCAGATGGACACACCTGGAACTCACTGATGCGGCTTTTGAGACATTTCATGCATCGGAAATGCAGAAGGTAGATGGATCACTATCCTTTGGACAGGCTCCTCACAGATTTTGCTTTCCAGGGATCATTGCCTGCTTGTCTTAGTTAATGACAATTTAGTTACAAAACGACTTGCCTGGGCCGTTGCCACTGGGCAACCTGTTCACTTGTTATACTAAATAGTGTCCAAAATTCAAATTCTCTCTGAAAAATTCTTAGAAATAAACAGTGGTCCCTTATGAGAATCGACCCAGTGGGGGTCTCTTCATACACCAGGCTTAGGCATATCTTTATTTTGGGAGAAAATTCATTACATGCAGTTATGATATACGTAGTTTTATGTTGCGACCCAAAGTACAACACCTTCTCTTAGAAGTGTAGTACATACAACAAAAAGAGGGATCAAACAATGCATTAAGATAAGTGGTCCCTTACAGAAGGATAAAACAATGGAAAATTCTAAGGCCATTATCCAAAGGGGTTGCGGTCAGTCACGAGAAATGCCGTGGTCGCAGATGGAAGTTAGATTGTAGTGCTTTTTTGACTTTTAGGTTTCACTTGAATCGTAACACAAAAGGGTATTGTCCACAGAGTCAAAAAGTAGAACTACATCCTAAATAAATAGTACCATGAGAAAGTACTACCAAAGAGGTATCAATTGAATGGTAACACCATAGGGTTGTGTCCACAGAGTCAAAAAAGTTGGAGTGTCAACTCATGGGGCTGTCACTAAAACATGAAGATGTCAGTCATGAGCGATAGGTAGGTGGGGAATTGAGCAAATTAGAAGTTTCCCTTCTCTCCATTAAAAGTAGCCAGGGGTTAGTTATGCTTGTAATAGCAGGGAAAATTCATGACCCCTGGCCACCCTTATTGACAACCCTAAGCTCAACTCATACCATGACTCTGTCTGGGAGGGAGAGAGGGTTAATAAATATTATTTACCTTTGGTGCTGATTTCTGTGGTGTTTCCTGAAATCGGAGCAGACGCATAGGATGTCCTTTTCTTCGGTGTCGCTAAAGAGGAATCATCAAAGAAACTTATCATCAACAAACCATGTGTCAATCCCTTCTTAGCTTCCAGAAAAAAAAAACAATTAAAGAAGATTTTGTTTTCAATGAAATCAATATGTCAAGACAGCTAACTGTAATTTTCCATCATAAAATGTGTGCTTAATCATTTAGGTACAAATGCCTGCTTTCTTACGTGTCAGTTAAAAGGACCTGATTGAATGATTTGTAGTAGGGGCGCTTTTTCATTTTGAAAATGAAATAGGCTTTTCTTTTTAAGAGTATCAGTTCTCACTTTAAAACTCATTAACCCCATGGATATTATTAAGAATTGACTGATCTGACTGGACACTTGATGAAAAGTGAAATTCTCGTTACAAAAGGAATGGTCTGGCCAACCACTTCTGACAAATGGAAAGCAGTATAAATATACATAGCATTCATGTCTCTTGGCCGATCTAGGGGAGGGGAGGGGCATGCCTGGTTATGTTGGACCACAAATGAAGCTGGAAAGGATGAGGCACCAAAAAATGGTTATTTTTAAGTAGTTTTTAGTTGATGACAATTGATCACCCATCAAAACCTTTAAGCGATGCCATAATCAATAAATTACCAAAAATGTTCAACACATAATTATGGGAAAAAAAATCCTAATGGCAAATGGGGATATTAAAAAACTTTTGTGATGTCTTTTCTATGATCTCAAAGTTAAAGAAGAAAGAGAATTTGATGAGTTGCAGGCCAATCATACTCATGATTTTCCCCAATAATAATCAATGATTAATCAGGTGGGTCAATTTGATTATTTTTGATGATCAGTCACGAAATCTCAGTTGATTCCCAACACCATTTTCAAGAATGAACACCCCACTTTCCATATCTCAAATGGCTCTGGTAGTTACCACAGGCAGACCACCCTCTGTTAGTGGGGGCCGTTGTTGATTGAAATCTGAGCAACGATCTTTTGTTATTTATAGAAGAAATACATATGAACAATACGGTGGCTATAATTTGTTCCAAAATGCAGAATTCAAAGCAAATTTTTCAATAAACGTTTGAGGAAAATGCTAACTTAGCCATGTGTCATGTTTTTTTCGCCGTCCGGTGCTGTTTTAAGCGCTATTTTGCTTGATGAATATTTGACCTCGGCGGTTAGAACTAAAGAAGGAGACAAGGCAGGCAGCAATCAGCCGCCGGTGCGTGACCCAGTCCAATTTACGTTGGAACTGACGCCAAACTATTTAATTTCTTACCTCGAAAATACCGGCTCCCGATCCAGTAAAACGACCAAACAAACATCCCTGTGCGGGGTAGGGTTGTGGTTTTGAACTGCCAACAGTCGTGATACGCTGACTGGTGGATTTGAATCGACGCGCATACCTCAAATGCCTTTGGTTGAGTTTTGTGCACCGGTCATGTTGAGAAAGCTGGTCTTTCACCTTCAGGATCGCTTTTCTCGAGAAATTTTGGAAGGACTGAGCTCTCATTCGGATGGGGCATGGATACATATCTACTGGATCAGGAGCCGGTATTTTCGAGGTAAGAAATTAAATAGTTTGGCGTCAGTTGCAGCGTAAATTGGACTGGGTCACGCACCGGCGGCTGATTGCTGCCTGCCTTGTCTCCTTCTTTAGTTCTAACCGCCGAGGTCAAATATTCATCTCACAAAATAGCGCTTAAAACAGCACCGGACGGCGAAAAAAACATGACACATGGCTCAGTTAGCATTTTCCTCAAATGTTTATTGAAAAATTTGCTTTGAATTCTGCATTTTGGAACAAATTATAGCCACCGTATTGTTCATATGTATTTGTTCTATAAATAACAAAAGACTGTTGCTCAGATTTCAATCAACAACAGCCCCCACTAACAGAGGGTGGTCTGCCTGTGGTAGTTACAGCAGTATTTATACTGTATAGAACATCACGGCAATTTACTATATTCGTTATTGTTTTGAAACAACTAAGTGATAAGTATTGCTCAAAGGCAACGAAATAACATTTTAAGGTGTAACAAGTTACTGCACCACTTTGGAGGTTAAAAGAACAAACAAACTACATGTATGTATGGCATTAAAGCGTTACTTTGGGACATGTTATAGTCTTAAGCAAACACTCGAGCCACAAGTCACCTGCATGTTATCCACAGCATTAGGGCACAAGAAAGGTTCAATGTGTGTTGTTTGTGCTGCATTATTTCCACTTACTACAGTTTCAGTTGGAACGGTGCTGGGTGTGGCAAAGGGATCATGCTTCCCAAAGATTTCAGAAGGCTTAATGTGAGAAGAATCCTGGGATGGGGATATTGAGAGTGATGTCTGCACAATGCCAGAGTCCTCCTGAAAACAAAATTACACATCAGATTATGCATGAAGATGAAACCTTCATTAGTAGTAAAAATCTTTTTTTCTAAAATTTGGACTCTAACACAGTTAAAACAGCTGAAAACAAAGTTTGAATAAGGGAAGAAAATTTAATTACCGCCCAAAATTAGTTGTGCATCAAGTGCCTTATAAGAGCTTGAAAAAAGTCCCGTCCAGTCAGTCTCCCACTATTTGCATATACCTGGCAACTTGAAGTTTTAGCAACAGCCCTGCCAGTCATGAAACGAATAATTGCAATTTCTGGACATGTTATGAGAACTCTCCAGCTGATAACACGGGTGCCTACACATGGGAGAGCTTAAAGAGGAAGACCGACAACTACATATATTAACACACTACTGAGGGATACTGGTCTGGAGAACGTTAAGGATCTAGATAGTTGTATATAAGATAGAGCTTTACGCTTATGGGGTCAGTTTTCTTCCCATCGCCCTCTAGGTTTCAACCAGTTGCAAGTACGAAAGTAACAACCTAGAGCACCAGGAAGCTACCAGTTTCCTTAGCAGCTGCTAGGGGGCGTTGTTGTCGACTTAAAACTTGGAGAGAACTTTTCTCAAAATATTTATATGGGCAGTACCTGCATGTACCAGGGTGATCTTCTGAAGGTCCTCATATTGTTGGACCTTTTTTGACTATGCCAAGTGCTCTGATTACAACAGACACCGTTTCTGTTTAAAGATCACACATCCTTGAGATTTTGATGTATAAAACCTTTTTCCACCATGATCATTATCCTTATCAAATGCACCTACCACAGTTATTATGGAATTTTGCTGCTCATTTACATCTGACTGCTCTTCTTTTATGGATACAGGCACTGAAGAGACTTCTGTGGCAGTCTTACTTAACCTGGCATATTTTTCCTCCAGTGAGGTTCGTACTCTACGAGGGGTTTTTTCTGTACTTGAAGATAAGTGCAGCCCACTTTCTTCCTCCTCTTTCTTGATAATTTCATTAAAATCTGCTTCAAAATTGCCAGGCGTCTGAGAAGGAAATAGAAGCATTAAAATGACACTCATAAAATTGCAGAAACAGACTGCACGCAGCTTCTTTTATTTTTCTTCACAGTTTGAGTGATGGCACATTCGACGTGCAAAATATGAGAAGAAAAAATACCAAACTAAAAGATAACTAATCAGGGCTATTTTAATTAGTAGTACTGAAAGGTTTTATGGAATCCAAGAAAAATAAACTAGCTGTGAATGATGCAGAATTTATAGTTTAAACCAGTGCAGTATGATATTTTTCTAACTGACAACCTCGTTTCTCACATCCCACAGCCTCAGTACTCACTGCTTGTGTGATATGTGTGATACCCAATTGTTCTTGAAAGTTTAAAATCTAACTTCAGGTCCACAGGTGGAGTCTGTATGCTGACTACCATCTAATACTTCCACAGTTCATGAAACCTAACCTGATAAAATATGGCACTTGCTTTAGGGAGAATTAACAAATAGATGATACTTGAGACAACTTACATGGGCCAGTTTTGTTTCATTTAACACCTTCAAGGCATTCTTAAATGGCGTTGGAGTCCGTGGTGACACACTCAACAATGTCCTTCTGATGCGTGGTGTGCGGAAAGGGTCCTCATTGATGCTGGTTTCTAAGACACCTGGTGTGTGCAGAGTCGTGTCAACCATACTGCTTTGGCTTTTTCCATTAGCTGGAGTTGAGGTCTGAATTTTGCTGTTATGTACTGGAGAGTTTAGAAACTGTGAAGGTGAAAATGGGAGAGACTTGATAGGTGTGGCTCCCTTTGGACTGCTGAAAGAGGCTTCTGTGGTGGCATAGCAACTGGGATCTAAGTCACCAGACTGAAGGCAATAGTGTTAAGGTCAAGCTACCAGTACTCTTATACAACAGCAGGGTTTCAGCCAGGCCGCGCCATTGCGCCAATCCCGCCCTATAATTGGAATTGTTCCTTTAAAAAATGACAATTTGTCCCCTTCAAAATTTAGAGAAAAAACTCGAACGGAAGCACACACGAAAAGATTTATTTCAGTACAGAAATTGCAAGCTGAAACAGAACGTGGAAAGTATATTTTATCGCACGTTTAAAGTTCATTCTAAAGTTACGTTTCAGTCACGCTCTACTGCTATTTTTGTCGGAAATCTAAGACAGGGCTTCTGATATTTCGCGCGGTCGCGGAGCTGCGAAATTCACAAAAACACGAAAAATACCGCGTAATTTGGTAGAAATCTTATCAAATACATGTCTGTACAACATATTTGAAACTTATTTCAGCTATACGGGCTATTTACTTGCCGTAAACTTGCAAAAGTAACGTGGAACTCCGTCACTGAAACGTACAAACAGATTATGTTGCGAAAAACTGGGCACTAGCCATGATGTTAAAGGCTTTGCCATTGGTTCATTTCTGGAGTGTATTGTTGTTGAAAGAGCAAACGATGACCTCTGTTAGAAAAACGTTAAAAAGGCTGGTCTGATCAGCGCAAAACCGATCGATTTCTAGCAAAATTTGCCTTGAAAATAACCACAAAATCGGCCGTTTTTACCGATTGCTTTACAGTGAAGTTTTCCCCTAAAACTCCCGCGAAGTCGGCCGATTTTTCCGCGAATTTGTCCCTAAAAATCCCGCAAAATTTGACTTTTTCTTCCGAGACCTATCAGAAGCCCTGCAAAGAAGACAAACCCTTTGCATCAGCAGAGGGGTGTACAAATTTCTGTTCCCCTAAAAATGAAAATGTCCCCTAAAATTTTAGCCAAGGGGACAAATTGTCCCTCAGTGATCAAATCCTAGCTCAAACCCGGCAACAGGAGTAACATTTATGTTATAGCTATTAACAGAGAATAGAAGAAGTACTGCACATACGTACTACATGTAACTACCACTGTTTCCCCTTACACAAAAACAGAAGTAAAGAAAAACTTGAATTTTAGCTTCTTCTTTCAATAGTAACTCTCACAATACTTGCTCATCACAAAAATCTGTTGTCCAATTGTTCCGTACAACCCAACAAGATGTTTTTTTTTTAATAATAAGGTATTGACAACTTCCAGATGGCTTTGTGTTAGTTTGTGAAATAAAACCTCTGACCAAAACATCAAGAGTCACTTTGGGTTTTGATGCCAGGCACCCATTCATTTTGTTCAACAAGTCACATTGTTGCTGTAAAAGTTGAAACAGAGTTTGAAAGCTTGACAGTAACAAAGAAGCAAAATTACACCTCGAATGTAAGACCTGCATGCAACAAACTAGCAATTCTTTACTCGATGCATTTTACTCAGCAGAGGTTATAATGACATTTGAAGAAGGCAGCTCTTTTAAGTAGAGTAGCCTGCCAATAGTATAAATCATTGGTTTGAAAAAATCTGTCTTAAGTATTTCAATCTAGCAGGGATGTCAGTCCTATGGACACCTATTTTTGGAAGAAACACAAGAAAAACTCACTTAATCTCTTTTAATTTTATGGGAAAACATGCCTTCTGGATGGCCAGTTTTCAGTTTCTTGGTAAAAGCCTGATACCGTCTTCTTATAAAGAAATTTGCTGAGTTAAGTAACTTCTTTTATGTAACTTCAACAGAAAAATTTGAAATAATTTACTACTCAGGGCAGAGGGGGTGTTAATAACATAGCAAAATTTTGTGACCTCAGAAAAAATTATTACAGAAAATAATTAATGGTATCACTCAGCGTAAGGATACTTTTCTTTTTCTTCCTCTTCTCAGTATTGTTGGAGGTGTGCTAAACCTTGTTTGTATAACTGGGGATGTTATGGGAATTAAAGACCTGAAGATGGAATAAGCACAAAATATTATTTAAAAACTGATACATTTTGTTATGTATGTAGCATAATCTTGGTACAACAGTGTCCATGAAATAATAAAAATTATTATATTCTTTACTCTTAAGTGCCTTCTCATGGAAAAATACACTATCTCAGTGTCTGTTAAGGCTTGAGATGTGCCCTTGAAACTTCCTGGCTTAAAAAAACTGGTGTGTTTTCAATTTGAAAGCGAATGAAGTGTTGGAAATGAGTGTTAAAAATTTCACTCACCCTCCACCAGTCTGAAGACTTGCTATAGAATTGCCATCAAATCTGTACCCTAAAAAAAAGGGCAAGTGTCATTGTTCAGCATTATGATAATGGCTAGTATTACACTGCAACTAAAACTCATTTGCACAGTTTTAAACGAGCATAAATGATGTTCCTCTCCATGCAAAAGTACAATATCTTCAAGAGAACACTGTACAGGTTTACACACAGGAAGTGTCACTTTATGCCCTCTTTGACACTCTAACACCACAGAAATAAGTGTAAAAGCAACGCCTTTTAAGGGCAGCAACAGTACAATAAGAGAACGTTTGGAAAATTTTGGCATTATGCCCTACAGCTGTAGTGGGTAGGGGCCTGGATACTAAAGCTGTATCGCAAGTTCTCCTTCTGAGATTGTTGGAGTGATTTGCACTTAATCATATAAGGTATTTATTCGCAATAACTATTTACAATTGCCTCAAATTGTACTTTGGTACAAACATCTTTGTATCTACTGCTAGACAGACAAACCTTGAGAAATGGTAAGGTGACTGCTATACAGGTCAACTTAGCAGAAAATATATGGCAACTGAAAATTTTGGGAAGTTGTCCTGTGACTGTAACATACACGGTGACTGCTATATATAGGGCCGTTATTATACAGGTTTGACTGTAACTTCAACTTGTTTTGTTGGAATTGAGAGGGTCATCTGATTAACTAGAGTTGCCACAAGTCAACCTCATGAATTTCTAAGCATGGGAGGAAGCAACAAAGTTGCGAGAGGTCTACATGTCTTACTTGAAGGGTTTCTATTTTCATTTTGCACCAAAAATGAGGAGTGGCGTGACTTGCATTAATTTGGAGTTTCAGGTTACATTTGTGAGTCCTCAGGAAGGCGGAAAAAAAAAACAAAGCTTGTTTTAACCTTGAGTTGATACTTGGAAAGCAGATCTCCAGTTACAGTTTATAACAACCATTTTGCACCTTAAAAATGTGTCACCTTTCTTAAGACTTAAGAGAAATCAGCGGAACAATCACCAACATGATGACATTGCAATCCTTCCCAAAATAATGATTGACAGTGTTGGAGACAGCTAAAAAGTCAGACTTTTCCCAGCTTCGGTTGGAGCAGACACAAAAACATCTCTCCCCAACAGATATGTTTTTAATGCTTTTCTCAGATACTCTGAAGGTGCCAATCAATTATGAAAAGCCCTTTGTCCCATGCCATATTAAATCAGACAAAGGACTTTTTTGAAAGTCTACTGATTAACAGTAGAGCTTTAGTTTCTCTCAGGCCTCGGCAACCACTCTTCTATCCTTATCCTTTTATTATTCTCTATCATTGTACAGTTCACTGCAGTAAAGTTGTCTGTGGTGTTGCAGAACAGAAAAAGTGAGCTTACGCAACAGGACGGCTGAAAGAAGGGGACAGTGCTATGTCATGCTTGTTCTGTTGTGATCTTCCACTTAACAAATGTGTTTTCTGGTCTTTACTGTAAGATCTGTTTAACAGATGGTAAAGTTTGGCAGAACACTTTTTCAAACAATTGCTGTTGTGCTTGTCACACAAGTTTTACTGTTTTACTCTACTGTCCTCTTGCATACTTGTTCTCTACAGTCTACTAAAACAATATAGCAACACTTCAGTGGCCATGTAATAGGCACTCTGACAGTTGGAATCTTAAAAAAAATGTTTTATTCCTCTGGTGAATAACAAATAGTACAATAAAAATTACAGTTTTACCAATAATAGCAAATAATTTGCTCCCTCAAAACCTGCGCAGTCTAAGGCTTACCTGTAGTACCTGGAGATGTCAGCTTGGAAAGAGGTATAGATTTGACTGCGGCAGCAGTATTCTTATCAAATGAGCTTATATCACCCCAAGCAGATGGATCTGAGTCAAAAAGGGAGTCTCCCTCAGAGAGAATAAATGTTCTAAAGGGGGACATCAGCCCCTGAGTTGACGATGACTTCCCGTCACTTTCAGTTTTTCTTACTGCAGACTGATTGGCTGGCTTCGATTTGATGTTGGTGAGGACTGAACTACTTCTGTATTTTCTAGAACTTGAAGAACTTTCTGCCTGACTGGTAGCCATAGAGGGAAGATCATCAGCAGATGAAGAGTAAAGGTCACTAAACATATCTGGTGAGTCAATATCTTCTCTTCTTCTCTTATCTACAAATACAAGATATTCAATGATACACCAATAAGATCAAACAACTAACAATAGGAGACATGCCATTGGGTCCGTATTGAATAATTGGCTCTCAGAAAAAACAGTCATGGACACATTTTGATAATGAATGATAGAAAGAAACATAGGAGCTATAACTAAAGCAAAAAGTAAAGGATAACTTTATGAAAGGGCCACAGAAGTAGAGTCAAACACCAAAATACAGACTGATCAAAATCAAACATATCACATGCTATTTCACCACTGTGTACAACGTTGACAATTAGCACACGATGAAAATAGACAGTGTGCAGATACCAGGTGTCCATAAAGAGGGAATGACAATTTATGAAAGTTTGTTGCTCGGGACACAGAAAAGTGTGCCTTCTCCATATTAATAGGTTTCCCTATTAAACAGGTTATGTTTAAAGAAAATATATGAGCTTTTCATCAGGACAAAGGAAACTGTCTGTTATACAAGGGTTACCATAGTAAGTGGGTGTCTGTAGAACAGGGTTCCACTCTATTGTAATCTACATTACCTTTCTTTCCAGGAAGAAGGTGTCCCTTGTTATATCTCTTCTCAGACTGGAAGAAAATAAAATAAACAGGGATTAAATAAACAGATTCCACTGTCCATTAACGTTCCAAGACTTAAGTTAACACTACATTTTGCAACCTAAGATAATTTCAAGACGTAAACATGAGACAGAGCTGTGAAATTCCTAACTTTCACAACAAAAAGTTTCATCAATAATTTTTTTTTATTGGCTTTGAGCTGTAGTAAAACTTCCAGTCTGTACAGTGTTGTTGCACAATTTCAAGCCAGCTACCATAGTATAATACATTAATTGACTGTTAAAATGCATTATATGTACCGTTAAGTTCCCATAGTAGCAACCCTTTTTCACTTTGGGAGGCCATTTGCACTAAGAGTTTGTGTGACATTGTTTGTATGAAAATGAAAGTTATGATTTTGCCTTTGAAAAATGATTGGTGGGTCATATCTTACACAAAATAATAGTGATTTGGTTTTTCAAACCCGCACCATTTTCTTTAAATGAGTAAGTTCGTAGATGGTCATGTGACCAAAATGTGATTTTTAAAATAATGAATTGCTTCTTTCTGAACACAAATTTTGCACTTAAACTTTGCACTTAAACTTAAACACGTCTGAATGTAAATATCAAACGTTTAGCAAGATATAAGCAAAACGTAGTTTTGGCCGCCATGTTGGAGGGCAAGAGTATGCCCTCCAACATGGCGGCCAATACAAATCATACTACTTAGTTGAAAAATCAAGGTGCCATAAAACATCTCCCTTAAATGTGTTCCATCTCAAATTTCGGGTGTAAGATAATTCTTATGTGCTCTGTCGAGTTTTGGCATCAGCAAGATTCCAACTCATTGTTTAGAGGAAGCATTAATTTGGTCACGTGACCTCTTAGTGCAAGTGGCCTATTAGCAGCCTTTGGGGCTCGTTACTTTTGGGGTGTCGTTACTCTCCTGGGATCGTTATTTCCAACTCTTTCCCGAAATGAAACATAAACAAAATCACGCGAAATCAACATCAATGGTCTACCAGATAACCAAATGGGTGAAACAGCCGATTGATATAAAGGAAATCAAAATTATAGTGCAGTATACAGAAGTTTCAGTTTTTAATTTAACTTGAGAAACATTACTGTTGTTGATATGAACTTTATATCAGCTTGGTTTTTACACTGTGCAATCTGTGAGCTGACATCAACAACAGATGATATAATTTCAGGCATACCATGTTTCCCTTGTTTTAAAGTGTCTCATAATGATAAATTTGTAAATACACAAAGATATTAGTACATATTAGTATTGTACATTAAGAATTTGATTATGGATTGCAACTGAAAAACAATAAAGACAATTGGTATGTTTATAACGTAATTAAAAAAACTTAGTCTTGATACTTTTGGGGAGTCGCTATTTTTGGGGGAATCGCTCTTTCCGAGGGCTCACTATTTTCAGGATTTATTACAAGTAAGAAACTTTTGACTTTACTTTTGGGGGGTCACTACTATGGGAGCTTTACGGTACATTTGTATAATTAAATTATTACTCCATACATGTATATTGTCGTTGTTAATACAACAACAATCTTGCTGTTTACAAGTTCTTTTTGTTGTTCATAAGAGGCTTCAGTACCAAGGTGAGTGGAGCCTTTCAGGAATTCATGTTCAACTAACTTATAATCAACAAATTATGAATAGAGGTAACTTAGCTAGACCTTTAGATTTGAGGATGAAATTTGCCATAAAGTTTTCTCGCATATTCTAAAAAAACGACACCATGGAAAGCTTTATTGTACATCTTTTTCACCAGAAACGTTAGCACCGTAATCTTTATAAAATGAGGTTAAGCCCTTTCCTGTTCGCAGAGTTATAAAACTTCTAACAATTTGATAACTTGTTTCTGTGAGAAAATCTCATACTTATAGTCCTCCTCATCTTAGAACCTAAAGGTCTCTATTAAGAGTGTGACAACAGTACAGCTAGAACAACAAAACACTCACTGCATGGTATCTAACTCTCCTGTAATGATCATAGCCTGCACTTTCAACCTTTCTCCTCATTGTGGAATTCCAGTGGTTTTTTATTGAATTGTCAGTTCTACAATAGGAAAGTATTTTGAAAACTCTTTAATCTCAAAATGAACTCTAGATTTCATTTGTGTCAAAAAATTATTAATATTAGATCTTTTCACAACATCAGTTCTCAAGGCAAACTTGTTTGTAAGAAGCAGGGGAAAGGGCGTGGTCTATTGTTGGTGTCACTTCAAGGTTTGAGTGAGAGTAAGATCACCAATTATTTGCCAGAGTTTGACCTCACTGGAAATGTTGAGTAAAATGGAGACATCTGCTATCTGCTCACATTCCCGCAATTCTCTGGCTTAGAATTTAAGAATAAAACAGATCTATCCAGAAACGAGTAGCCCATTACTACTGTTCAGTAAAAAACTATCTTGTGATAATAAGAAATAAGAAACTGTTACACACCTTCCTGGCAGGAGCTTTGCAATCTCAGCCCACTTATTCCCCATAGTAATGTGGGCTTCATAAATAATCCTATCTTCATCTTCTGTCCAAGCTGTTTTCTTTATATGGGGATTTAAATGGTTATGCCATCTGAAGACGCACAAAACATGCATCAATAAACAAAATTACTCTCCAGCACCAAAACTAAAATCACAAGCCATGCAAACCTCAAATTTCACATGCACTTCAATTAAATAATTTAAGGAAGCTGTTCTGACTAATTAATTCTTATAGTATACTCTGATGGCTATTATCAAACTGTATGCAGACGCATTACATATACCTTTCTCTACACTGTTTACCAATCCGTCCTTTCAAGTGTTGAGCAATGAGGGACCACCTTTTAGCACCATACTTGTGCACCAGTTCAACCACTTTATCATCCTCCTGAAGATAAAATAACAAGTCAAAAAACCTGCAGTTTCTGTATCTAGAAGTTGTCACTCCCACTGGTGAGACACTTTTCAAGGCTTTTGCCTAAGAACATTTTTTGGGAGCCCGAGCCACATTTCTAGGAGACAAATTAAAAAGATCAGTAACTTTATTGACCCTTTGCAAGCCCTAGGATTACACAGTAACGTTCGTTTTTGGTACCGTGATCTTAAAATAACAGAACTGAAAAATAGTTTCTCAGTCACATATCCTGATATATTCAGACTGAGAGATCAAAATAAACAAATATAGTATTTTTCCACTCAGATTCTTAACTAGTAGAGCAATATTATTAATCTTCTAAAACGTTCCTGTTTTTCTATCATCCACCATCTTGAATCGTTCCCAAAGTGCACTGCACTGCCATTACTGATGAAGCCCGTGTGAAAGATGTTTTACAGTTCACAACAGGGATTGTTATGGTTTCCAGTGCCAAGAAAAACAATTAGAATGTAGTCTTTTCGTGACAATTTCACTGTTCAAACTGATGATGAGGCCCGAATCTCTTTATGAAAAGACAAGATCTGTAGTAAACATTTCAAGTGAGTATACTTCTTTAGTTGGATCTTAAACTTAAACTGACCAACATGACCTTTTATATGGTGGTGTCAGTTTATCGATTAGTTTAAATTTGAAACTTGTCCCACTTCCCTACGCAAATCTGAAATGGCCAATAAGCTAATAACATAACCTTGCCTTCTCAGTACATGCCATAAATTGCAGATTCTTGTTTTCTCTTATTCATGGCCCACATGCTTTGTGCCTGGACCATAAATTAAGGGGTGGGGGGAGTTCTTGATCGAAAATATACAACTTGGGGACTTCAAACTTGGCTAGTAACAAGCATTGATGTTTCCCATCTCACCTCTTTTGTCCAGGGTCCTTTCACAAGCTCTGGATTGAGTACTTTTTGCCATCTGTGCAGACACTGTACATCAGTACGATCAGAAAAATGGCTTGCTACTTCTTTCCAGCTATCTGTTCCAATTTCATCTACCAACTCCTTCAGCTTGTCATCCTGAAACAAATTTTAGATTCCACTTGCTTTAACTGATTGCTCTCCAAGGTTGGGGGACTCATTTTTTTTAGAAAATTTTGAGGTAGAGAGGGAGGGCTTATTGGACAGGGGGACTTACTTAAAAGAGGCAACCCTAAGTAAATCATTTCCTAAATGGCATTGCCTAAAAGCTCAGTGGGTTATAGGGCACCTTTGGGTTTGTACAATCTCCAGACAGGGATAAATAAAGTCATTTTCAAAACATAATTGCTTGCATTAATATTAATGATTATTTAGAATAAAAAATCAAATTGTGGAAAATACAGTCGACTCATTATCGAGAAAAAGCAATCAGAATAATATCTTTCTCTGAACCAAATCTCATTCTGAGCCTCTGTTCAAATCTCTCAACCTACTTAAGCTCAATGATGTCATTGAATCACAGATACTCTCTTTTGTTTATCAGTGGTCACGCTAGCCTGCGAGCAAGCTCTCCTATTTGGGCGAGTGAAACGAGTATAGCGAGAGCGCGCGGCAAAGCCACGAGGGGCAGAGAAAAGGAGAGCTTGCAAAGATCCCTGATAAAATTTCATTTGTACTTCACCCAGACGAAGGGAGATACCATTGGCTGAAAAATGACGTTCCGGAAATCAAAGTTGATTGATAACAGGCCAAGTCGGCACCCGCTTCGTCTGTGTGTCAAATTTGGTCCTCAGGGGGATCAGATTGGTACCGAGAACTTGTTTCAGCCCTCAATGCAGACGGGCTCGCTTGATGTAATTCTCGCAAAGAGAATATTGCGAGCCCAGGATAAGTCACACCGAGTTTGTAAGTTCTTGTGAAAACCCTTCATCAGTTGTATTCATTTGTGTCAAGCACATTGTTTAATTCTGAAAACCGGGAGAGTGAAAGTGAAGAGTGATTCAAGCACTGTCTTCCAACATCAGTTTCATCGCCTGATGGAACTCTACTGGGTAGAAAAATTTAGAAACATGTACTTAACAGTGTAGAGAGAGTTGGAAGCAACTCGAGTAAAACTTAAAAGAAACAAGTGCAGGAAAACACCATTCTCCAGTTCCAGACGGACAAATATATGATGTTTTTGTTGGTGATTGCGATGGGGAGTAGTCTTCTACACTGCGGTATGGATGACTTTTCAAAAGTAAACGGAACGAGAATCAAAGTAGTTCTTATCTGTGCGGACAGGTTGAAGTTCGATGTCCCAGTAAAAAAAAAGAACATATCAGTGATTAAAAACATTGCCTTGATGCTGTTGTGAAAGCGATTTATAAATAAATCATTCTACGCGCCCTCGACTGTCTAAACTTACTCGACAGGCGGCTGTCACTTTTCTAATCTGTGGCACGTTTGCAGTGACAGTTTTCATGCTTTGCGAGGTCCCGGGGCTTCCGGGGTGGAAATGAAAATTTATGAGAGATCGTTGCAAGCTCTCCTTTCCTCGGCCGCTCACTCGCGCATTCTTGCGAGGCTCACTTCGCTTGCCCAGATAGGAGAGCTTGCTCGCAGGCTATGGTCACGCAGACTGTTACCCCCCTGTTTCAGTGAATATTTCAAATTTACTTCTTCTGTTCATTCCTATTCAACGAGGAAATCATGTAATAGAAATCTTTATGTAGCCTCAGTTAATACCACTTAATATGGTTTATGCTTCCTAAAACTCACTAGTCCTCTGTCCTAGTCCTTTGAAACTCCTTTCCTACAAGGTATAACTAATTCAAATTCTCTTAAAATATTTTGTAAAACCCTTAACAACTCCATCTCCAATTACCTTTCTAATTAATTATCTGCCTTAGTGCATGAAGAAATACTTTTTATGAAAAAAAATATTTATATATTCTTACTTCTGTCTGTAAACTGTATTTTATTGCAGGGGTCATCCACTAGATTAGCCCTTGCTATTTGGATGATCCCAACTCACTCTCTATTTTTTTGCTGCAATTTTTCTTTTATTCCTTAGTTGTACTGTGTTTAGTTGCCTACATAAATTTAACCTTTATGTCATGTAAACTGAGCTGACTTTAATAAATCATCTTGTCTTGTACTAAATTATACACAGCTTTTCTTTTTATGGACCACACATTTTGGAGAGAGAGCATTGAAGACATTATTGGAATCAAACATTTTAAATTGTTGTCTAAAGATAACAACGACTGATTTGTGTAAAATAGGTCTTAAAATGAGGGAATTACGTTTCAGAGAGCTTGACTCCTAAATTTCACAGCAAGTTTGAAGCCATGTCCCTCACTCCCCTTCTCCCCTCTCCCAGGAAATTGGGGCTCTGCTATATATTTTTTGCCTTACCGGCCATGAATGGTCCCTTACCTGCTGAGCTAAAATTTAGGGAGAACACTGAGCTCCTAGTGCACAAACCAGTCAATTATGCTTCCTTAACTGATAGTTTCATCGTATCGTTTTCAAAATTATTGCATCTTTGATCTTAAATGCAAACATGGCAAATGCAAAACAACTTTCGGGGACCAAACAGTTACTGGGACTTTCGAGAAACAGGCCCCAAGGCCAAATCAAAACAGGGTCTAAAATGCAATTAGCTATGCTGGTAGCTGATGCATCTGAGAAAAAAGTGTTAAGGAATAGAATTTCAATCTATTACAAGTAGTCTCATGGAAAAGCCAATTATAGAATCTGCAAACCAAGATGTTTTAGAAGCAAAGTTGTCGTTTCAGCGGAATTGAAATGAAACTCTGCTTTAACATTTTGAATGTGGCTAAATGGAATTTAGGCTAAGTTAAACACAAAACAATGCTGGCCAATGGTATTTTCCAGGGCTGGTGTGCAGGGAGGCTGGGGGATGCCTGCAGGGGCTTCACATGTTTTTACAGCTTGGCTTCAGATGTCAAGTCATTTTGCATTTGTGTCTCGCTATATATTGGGCAGTTTTTCGGAAATGCGACAAATTTTAAAACTCTGAACAGCATCTAATTAACACGTGCAGGTTTTCTGTCTAAACTGGTACTGTATTCTTCAGCAGCATTAACACAACCCTGCTGTAATACTTTATCAAGCTTAAAATAAACATTGATTTTGAATAAAATAAAAACACAGATTGAAAGAATTTAGTTGAAACTGCAGGAAAAGTACTGCTTGCAATGCAAAATGCAGGATCAGTAGTATGCAGTGCAAAGTTGTTCATTGTTACACATACATTTACAGGTTAACAAAACATGTAGCCAGATCTGTTCCCGAGAGCTGTCATACCTGCCAAGATAATTATGCATCAACATCTAATCACTTTGTAAATGACATTTAACAGCAACATATAAATTTGGAGTTGAATATGGCAAATTATGCTAATAAGAGCAATCCTTCAGTTTTCTGATTTCTGAGTATGCATGATGTACTTGTGCATGGGGTAGAAGACAGGGTTCTCATTAAGTGCCGGCAGTCGGCTAAAAAACTGGCTACCTGGAGGTTTGAGCCGTCTACTTTTCAGGGGAATAGGGTAAATAGAGAGAATGAAAGCCTGAAATTGCCTACAGCACTCAGTTACCAAGCCGCCTACTTTTACATCATAGCTGTCTACTTTAGAACTTAATGAAAACTCTGGAAAATAAGCAAAGGATAATCTCACTTGTAACAACAACAAATAAAAAATAAAAAAAAAAAGAGAAATAAAAAGAAGGCTAAAATATGGAATCAAATAAAACTGCACATAAAAAACTGACATTTTGACGGAGTACAGCAGGTAAAAGATTAAATTACGACTTATCATTTCATCAGTATGCAGCACAAATGCACAAAGAATATTTACCAGAATTAAGACGCCGTCCTAAGTACAAGAAATATGTACAACACCGGGCCACATTGTAGGTTAACTAGTCACTGCATTAAAAACATCTAATAGCAGGATAACGAAGACAAAATAACGGGGTAATCAAAAAAGACGCCGACAGAAGGCACGCCGGTTATTTAAACTGGTATAAAATGAGGAATATTGGCATACACATGCAAAATAGCAGTCTCGGCTGACATAGCTGAGAGGTTCCACAACATGACCCTCCAATATGCCTTGCTCGAGGACAAAAAACTGTAATTTATATGAATGATCTTCAAGGTGTTTTACAAATGCTACACTGGGTGCAAGCTGGGGTAAAATTTCGTAGCATAACACGTCCTCACTGCCGATTTCGGCACAAAGCTCATTTGCTTTAGTCCGTTTCATACACATAAATTTGCCTTCATTACGGATAGTGTACAACTTTCATTTTCCCGAATTTACAGTTTTTACTTCGAGAACGAACAATCTTGGAAAATCCCGAATTCAAACAGCTGAATAAAGCTCAGAAATAAGCGATGGAACTGTTTAAAAATTTCGCAGAGAAAGGACAAGAGTATAAGAACCAATATTCAATGCAGTAATACGATCCTTTTCAACGGACATTCGAGATTTAAAATGAAGCTCACCACACGCTTGGTTACACAAAAGCAGAAGCTTTGTTCAAAACTTTAGATAAGAGCACACCAAACACGCCTTTAAAGGTCTAAACGTTTAAGACGCCGCTTAAGGTTGCATTTACCTTTTCAAAAAGCCAAATACGATGAAATTTGGGAAAAACAATCGTCACCAAAACAAACTGTTATGAATGAATTAAAGAAAACGTTGGCCAATTTTTGCATACATAGCCCCTGACAACTTCCATTCAGAGCCGAGACTCGACGCGAGGGATAAGACAATCCTACACGAAATCTTTCGCGTTAAACGTTAGGTTCCTGGAATTGCTTTAACATTTCTTACTGAAACACAAGAGAATCCCGGAAACAGGAGAATATTTACGTGTGTACTAATGGCAGATACGTAAGCTTATACACAAACCTCTTCTTTCGTCCATCGTCCCTTGTTAACTTTCTTCTTTCGACGATGAGTTCTCTGTGACGGTTCCTCCTCCACTGGAACACTATAACCCCTAACTCATCAAAAACAAAACAAAATGAGCGAAAAATCATGAAATTATAACCAGCCTTCTTCGCATTACGTCTTTCGATTGCACAAACAACATGACCCCTGATCGGGGGTATCGCAATTTGCGCACCGCTAAAAAATTTCCAATACACGCAACGATTTCTTTCGTTGCTTTACGCACCGTGCAACTGATTCTGCTGCCTTAAGAAGAAGCAACATTCTTGCATAAGAAGCTTTTAGGCATTCTTCGACAATTTCCACTGGGGTTTGACAAAATATAGCCCAGAAAGACGAGCGGCTTTGGACGCTATGAGAGACGCACAGCGAATCAAAGAGAATATGCACGTGTTACAGCACGCGTAAAGCCCGGATGTTCACTTCAAGACATAAAATGAAAAACCTAATTTCACCTCTCAAACGCAGTTTTATCGCAAAAAGTGTGAAAATGCGTGTAACTGGTTGTAATGAGAGCAACAAAAGAAGGAAGAACGATTTCAAAGCTTAACTACAACTTTGCGAAAATCCGCATGCAACAGCACATTCGAAACGAGGCGACATCGATCGCGCAAGCAAATCGATCTGGCTTTCGCGTCTTCGCAAAACTTAGTTTAAATTTATCATTTAAAATCTGCTAGCAAAAACAGGGATAAAGTTGCTTAGAGTTTTGATTCTCTTGGAAATAGCGATAGAAATGACACAAGAGGATGTTTTCTGCCGCATTTGCACGAAAATCATTCCCTACGGGAGCGATTGTACGAGAGATCGGAAAGGCCTCGAGTAAACACAAAGATCGGAGGAGACATCGAGGATTACAAATCATGATGATAACATTTTACGTAGATTTGCAACAAGAAGCATCTCATTAAATCAATGAGAAAAAGTAATGATCGTATTTAGCTTGGAGTCTAATTAAGGTTTTCCTTTGTTTTTCAAGTCGACTTCATTTTTACCTTCAAAAATGGCGCGGAAACTGCGACGTGATTGATTGCAAGTTTTTGTAGGGAAAGAGCGCAACAAAGTAAAGTTTATGATGGCATATCAACAGAAGCAATAAATCCTTACCGAAAATAGTAGGCATCGGTCATCCTTGAGGAAATCCGTAGAAATCCTGAGCCAGAAATTCAGAAAGAACCCCGAAATTCACAAACCTTCTTTATTGATGTAAACCGAGATGCGGTTTGAGTGGTTCACGCTTCAAATAGACCGCCACGCAAACCCTGTTCTGATTGGTTAAACCCAATTGCTGACTTCATCCCGATTGGTCAGGAAAAGTTCAAATGTACGTCAATACCTCTGGGGCTTCCAGCGGGTCCGAAATTCGCAACATTGCAGTGTGAAATGTCTTCGCTTCTCTTTCGTACCTTCGATTGTCAAAAATTGTTATTTAGCCGCGAAATACTTCACATGTTAGGTCAAATCTTGCTTCGTAATGGTTAGGTTCATGCGCAGTATATTAAGCCTTTTGAGTGCGGTCGACAGAAGGAACTGCATTTTCTTGTACAAAAATAAAGAAATTGCCAATTGTTTTTTGAAGGCCACGGGGTGAGCACGTGGTGTATAATTCTAGCCTTCATGGTCATAAACAAACCAGTAGATCAGCCGTGTTGGACTTGTTGTAATCTTTCGAGAATGTTTAGTTTTTTAGTAAAAAGATTTAGCTTCTGAACTTCAAAACTTATTGAGGAGGGGTTCAGTCCCTGTCGATCGATATTTTACAATTGGAAATGCGCTTTTTAATCTGTCGCTGTCGCCGGTTGAGCCCATTTCTGTGTGGTTTGTTACCATTTCATCTGTCTTAAATACGTCGCTGTTTAAAGGCCATGTCAATCATGGCCAATGGATATCTTATCCGAATTTTCTCCAATATGAAAGACCTTATATTGATCGAGGTGAGCCTCAAGCTGTCTAAAGAACAGCGTTTGGTCGTGCAAAACAATGCGCCAAATGTTATGCGCAATAACAATTACTGAAAACAGTTTCCAAGGTGGCAGAGTGTCGCTGCGCTTCTTATGATGTGACCTGCTAACTTTCCCCTGGATCTTCAGGATCTTTCGCCATGCTCGTGCCGATTTTCACACTGAAGTTAGGTCACAAAATCCACGCTCGAACTCCGGCACTGGGGCGATACGATGGTAGGCATCCTTGTTTGACAGGCGGTACGACGGCTGGAAAGGTTGGTTCAGATAATTATAAATTTCTTTATCAATAGATGTAACCCTCGAGGACCGCTTTTGAACTAACTTGCGATCAGGCGTCTTACTTTGCGGAGGTAACACACGAAAAATCCGCGGAAAAAAGGAAATGAAAAAGGGAGAAACCGCCAGATCGCACTTTACTCTTGGCCGTAGTCTTTCAGTGAGTCTTTACATCAAATAGAGCAATTTTAATTGTTATACTCCAAGAAAACAGGGAGAGCTAGTTGTAAATTTTCTCCCTATAAGGTAAGAGTTGTAAGAAAGTCTTAATCAACTTAATTGGAAATTGTGTACATTTTGGAATTGATCTGTCTAATCATGGATCAATCTCTCCACTGAAAATCACAATGTTTATTTTGTCAATAATTTCAGGCCTATGTGGCTTGTTCAGTCATTATGAGCATGCAAGGAGAACATCCAAAGGGAAGAGGAGGCACTTGTAGCAAAAGCCCTAGGTTCCCGTTTTGTAAATGTTCTGACAGCATGTAAAATTCCCATGTCTTTGTTTCAAATTATTATTGAAGTCCAAGAATAATGGTCCAGTTTCGTTGTGTAAGTCTATAGCCTGCCACAAAGCTCTTCATTTATGGCACTTAATCTATGCCCAGACTAGGCGAAATGCCATTGGTTGGAAAATGATGCACCGCCAATTAATTTTGATTGGTGACATTCCTGCCCGACCTGCCATGATTTTGTTGTGGAGAAACTTTAAACACAACAGACTGGGTGAGATTTAGTTTGGTAATGTGTTCATGGCAACCCCTTCTCAGGCTTCTGATCTGCCAGTTCATACATTTTGTGAGGTTGAGATCCAAACTGAATGGTTAAAAATACAGCCACATAATCTTCAAAACTTGTTCACCAATCACTAAAGGAGAGAGTGATCATGTTTCTCACTGGAGAAAGGAGTAATCATAATTTTCCTGATTTCCTGATTGGTGAACAAATTCAAAAATCCAAATGGATATGTGGAAGATCGATCTCCTCAAGAAAAAAGAAAGCCACTGCAGCCAGTGATGAATATGTTGCAATAATAAATTTTTTATCTTAGGTAATTTATCTTTTTCTTTTGTTTTTGGGTATGGTAATGTCTGCTAATGAAGCTGAAACAAAGGAAAAATAAAAATTACCTGAGATGAAAAATAAACTACAACAAATACAACATTTTTGGAAAGAAACGAATGCGATTTTTGATGACGCTGAAGTTTAAACAGAATGCAGTGGCTTTAAAGCGACACGTCTCCGCTGAATTCAAGGAATATTATAGATCCGAATCACCTACGATCTAGCTACGATCTGGCTACGATCCACACTAGAAGGTTCAAACCAATTTTATTGTCTTATTTTAGTTGTCTTGCCTTTGTGCAAAATTGTAATATCTTACTCCTGGAACAGACAATGCTAGTGCAACTCAGGCACATTTGGCTTGGCCTGATATGGGTAACTGACAAACAAGTGACAACTTTCATGTTTCTGGTGACAGTTTTAACGCTTTGTGGTTTCCTGTGGTTTCTGGGGTGGAAATGAAAATTTATGGGAGATCGAACATATTGCAAGCTCTCTCTTTCTTTCTCGCCCCTCTCACTCGCATCCCCTTTGGCATGCTACTCTCATGTGACTTCTAGCAACTCCCCCAAATGGAGAGCTTGCTTGCAGGCTAGTAAGACTACCGTATATTTAGGCAATGAAATGATTGTTTATTGATATGCATGATAAGGATGGACGTGGTTTGAAACTTGAAAAAAGTGGGCCAGCTTGTTTCAAGTTTTTATGCCTCATGTATGCCTGTAAAGTTCACCACAAAAATAGTTTATGATGGTAACAGGTGCTGCCCTAAGAAATTTGTTTGATATTTTCATAACTCTATAGGAGCACTAATTATTAGTATTTAACAAATCAGTGAATAGCAGTTTTTGCGCATTTTGATCGGCTCCCATAACTCGGAATATCCTTCCTTGGCTATTCACTGTTGTGTGGCCTGAGCCAAGATGGCTCGGAAATTTTCAGAGGAAGAAATTTGAGCGATAAATGAAGCAGTTGTATCATCAAATACCAACAAAGCAATGAACTTTGGCTTGTCAGTGTTTACTGGTAGGTAGAAAATTATTTTCATGCTCAATTTGCAACAAAATCATAAATGCACAAGCATTGACAAAAGGCCCAAAAAAACTGTGTAAATTGTAAACAAACTTCCTACTAAGTGACGTTTTGAATTTATAAAATGTTACTTTTTTTTCGTTTTTATCCAACTGATTTGGTAAATACTAAAACAACTATCCCCCTCAGGGTCCGTGAACAGAGCCAGATCAGTGTTCTCCGTAGGATTTTGGCTATGATTATCAACCGTGTTTAGATGAAGCCTACTGTACACCAAATAAAATTTTTTACACTTGGGAACTTACTTTAAATTGGAAAAAAAAGCACACAAGTTGCTTTGACAAGCTTTTCGTTTTTGTTACACATATCTTGGGTTGACTGCGAGCACGAGTGAGCGCAAGAATTCCTAAATATAGTACACCATGCACATTGTATTTTTCAAGATGGCTGCCGTTCAAGGAAACGAAGGCATCATCGATTTGAACATATTCGTATTTTATGATCAATAGCTTAAATACACCGGACAATGTTACATCAACTTTATTGAGTGATTTTGCCTTTGAAATACCTAGCTCTAGATGTCAACATAAGCTTCCATTCGGTTTAATCTTTGGTACTAAAGCCAGGCGGCAACTATTTTCCAGTGAATTTAGCCAGACGGTCCGTCTAGCCTTAAATACCTAGGGAGAAAAGGGTAGATATATACCTCGATGCTTCGCATCTCAGTATTATTCATCTCCCCTTCTGGGGATAGTTGTATATTATTTTTGGGCATGGGTATTTTAAGTACAGAATTGACCTAAAACACTTCAGAATCACTTCAGAAAGCTGCATTTAATACTAATTTAGAGCAAATGGAACTGAATCAAAGTCACCAGTTTATACTAGCTTCTTACATTGCATTCAATCTTCACTTCTGTTGGTTGATTCTATTAAACTGATAATAATAATATTATTGTTAGCCAGAGTCAGTCAAGTTACCCTGTTTTGCTGTCTTTTTTACAGGTTTTCATCCACAACCCTCATACTTCAGCACTGCAAGGTGGTAGAGCGATAGCGAGTCACAACACTGACATCAGCATTTTAAACATTAATCAACAAGTGTCTGCTGTTGCTGCTGGTCCATTGAATAGTTCAGGATGTGACACACTGCTTGTTGGGACACCCACTAACTTGCTTGCTTATGATGTAGAGAACAACTCTGATCTTTTCTACAAGGATGTGAGTTTCTTGTTAGTTTAGTTTGACTGCTCTTTGGGTCTGTAAGGAAAATTTTCTTTTGGTAGTTACTGGATGTACATGTATATTACTAAGTGGTAAGCCTTAGTGGTGAAAGAGAGCTTTTAAAGGATATAGCTCTCAAAAAAATTAATGAGCTACTTTGAACATGTACTGAAAACAAAAAAATATGGTCAAACCTTGCTTTAGGGACACCCGCTTAATACAGATACCTCATTATTCTGGACAGTTTGCTTTGTCCCTGGGGAAATAAAGCCCTCTAACATTTTCATCTCTAAATTCAACCTGCCAAATAATTATGTACAGTAGCCTCCCACGTACATGTCCTTTTGGCTTGTCACGTAATCCTCCTCAACGAACGTCTGCTGAAACGGGCGGTCAAAAACATAGGCCAATCATAGCACACTTCCAGATCTGGGAAGTGCTCATTGAACCTTGAGAAATTTTGTACGAGACTCGCAGTGCGAGACTTCAGAAAAGATCAGGAGGTCTCATGAAAGGTTAAAGCCCTAACCTTTTAAAATGAACTACTCAGTTAACTCACTTGCTTTCATACGAGACAGGGCTTCTGATATTTCGCGTGGTCGCGGACCCGCGAAATTCCCCCCAAAACCCGAAATACCGCAAAATCTGCCAGAAATATTTCCAAATACTTTTCGGCAAAACATATTTAATACTTATCTTGGCCATTAGACCTGTTTTATTCACCCCAAACGTCCAAATTTACCTTGAACTTCGTCACTGCAACGAGTAAACAACGTCCCAAAACTACCAGGCGTTCTTAGATTAATGTTGCGAAAGACTGGCCACTAACCATAATGTTAATAGCTTTAGCATTCGCTCATTTCTCGAGCAAACTGTTGTTGAAAGAGCAAATGATTATCCCTGGTAAAAAAAACAACGTTAAACAACGCTGGTCATATCGACGTAAAATTTATCGATTTTAGCGAAATTTGCCAAAAAAAATCCAGCGAAATCGGCTGTTTTTTACTGATTGTCTCTTGGCGAAGCTTCCCCCCGAAATTTCCTGTGAAATCGGCCGATTTTTCTAAGAATTTGCCCCTGAAAATCCTTCGAAATTTGACTTTTTTCCGCTAAAATCCCGCGAAATCGAACGATTTTGCGGCGAATTTTGACTTTTCTCCTACGAAAATCCCGCGAAATCGGCCGATTTTCCCGCAAATTTAGACTTTTTTCCCGCGAAATCGGCTGATTTTTCCATGAATTTGCCCCTGTAAATCCCGCGAAATTTTGCTTTTTTTTCCGCGAAATATCAGAAGCCCTGACTAGAGGGTATAATACCCTTACAATCTCATTGAAAAATTACCTTGGAGGTTTATTTGCTGAACAGAAGTCAGCTTTACGACAAAACAATAAAGTGCCAAAAAAAAGATTTTGCCTTTTGTTCAGTTACAACGTAATATCCTGCCATTGTCTCACCACCAAGAGAACACCTTTATGAGCAAATGACTCCTAATCCAGCATTTACAGACAGAAATATACAAAAAGCCAACACTTTACATTAAATTCCTACATTCTTGTCTGGAGCAAAACTCTGATTACATTCTATCAAGCTTGGATGTCGTTTTTGGCCTGTCAACACTTTAACTTCATCAGTGCTTATTGGTTCTCCAATAATCTGCGTGTGAGCTCCAGCTGATATTTGTGAACAAGGTGAGGGAGGGAATTTACTACTCATTTCAGCAGACATTCGTGGGGCAGGAACCCTTGACAAACCCCTAAGAACCTCAGTGTGGGAGGCTATGCAGACGGATACTTTGTTTGGCCCCCTCAGTGTCCATATTATTGGGGTTTGACTGTGAGGCTGTTAAAAAGATTAATGAGTTGAGAACCAAAAAGATGTCTAAGGTTATAACATGGGTAAGTAATTTTGAAAGGCTGCTTTAAGCCAAAAGTTAGCTCCTGCGAATTTTTCCAAAAAAACACTTTTAAGTATCATCCTGACAAGATAAAGTATCTCTTTCTTCACTAATATTTGTTGTTTACTCTCCGTTTTATTAACAACTCCTACTTGTACAGGCCACTTGCAAATCTTGTTTAGTTTTGTGCTTTGATCCCTTGTAAGATTGCAGATGGAGCGAATGCTATAGTAACAGGCAAGCTTGGTTTATTTGAGAATCCTTTAGCGATAGTTGGAGGAAACTGTTCAATTCAAGGATTTGACTTTGAAGGAAATGATGAATTTTGGACTGTAAGTGATGTCTTACACTTCTTTAGGAGAAATAATATCAATGCATGTGCTGGCTTCCAACTAAACCAATGAGTAAATCAAAATACTATAGTTACAAATAATTATATACAGTACAAAGAATTATGAGCCCATTCTAAACTCACCAGCAAGTTTGTGAATTATATATTCTGAAATCTTAGCCATCTCCACCCGCTAAGTTATTGAGGGCATGGTTTAGGGGGTGGAGATGGCTGACATTTCACGACTATAAATTGTAGTGAATCCAAGGTTGTGCTCTAACAAAAATTGAAGGGGGCCCAGTCTAGTGCTGTGAACCTGTAAAACCCAGGGTACCCAGAAAAGAGCTCAACTGCCATAGAACCAACTTGGTACACTAACATTAGGGATTGAAATAACGGCCGGTCAATGGACAATGTCCGGTCAAAAATAGGATTTGTGCGGTCAAAATGAAAGCCGAACATTTTGTCCACTGTTTCACGCTTCTAATGTAATGCGGACGTTCACTTTTTTAAATATGATTGGTCAAGATTGGACATTACTGGTGTTCGTGATGGAAAAAAATGGGGGGGGGGGAGAGAGAAAAAGATGACCAGATCAAGAACTTAAATAACATAAACCATTCATAACACAAGGCCTCTGACAGGTCACAGAAAAAAGGTCAAATTTCGTGGGATTTTCAGAGACAAATTTGCGGGAAAAACAGCCAATTTTGCATAAAGATTCAGAACCAATTTCACCGAAAAACGATCATTAAAAAAACCAATTTTCTGGGCAAATTTCGCTATTTGTCCAATAACAACAACAACAGAAACATTGACTACTTATAAATGTTGCCTTTTTAAAACTGGCGATTTTGTCCTCAAAACCCCCACGCGTTTTGCGATGTCGTTTGGACTTGGTATGGTCTTGCGCAAGGTTTTTTTTTTATCAGATATCCTCATTAATTTTGCTCTTTTAACAACAATGAACTCAGAAAAGCGCCAATGTCGAAGCTTTTTATATCATGCACTGGCCAGTGCCCAGTTTTTGGCAGTTGTAATCCAAGAAGACCTGGTAGTTTTAGAACGTTTTCTCATTGCAGTGACGAAGTTTCAAGATAAATTTGCAGGTCTATGGCAAAAACAGCTCCATTAGCCGAGATAAGTCTCAAATATGCAGGGTTGTCAGAAAGTTTTGAAGTAGATGGCTGAGTTGGCAAAGTAAGCGGCCAGTTCAGGGATATTTTATTTAAACAATGCCGTCCGTAGAAATGCCAAGCAGAGTAGCCGGCCGATACCAACTAAGTAGGTAGCAATTTTTCGTCGGCAGCCAGCCACTTTTGACAACCCTGAATATGTTGAACTGACATGTATTTGTTAAGATTTCTACCGAATTTTGAGTGATTTCGTGGATTTACCTGAATTTCGCGGCTCTGCGACCGTGCAAACTTTCAGAAGCTCTGCACGGCGGGGCGGTAACGGTGGTTTGTTTGTTTTCTGGGAGTTGCGAGTTAAAAACTTATTGCTTTGTCCTCTATAAAGTTGTCACCACAAATTCAGGAGTAGCATGTGTAGTGTTGTAAAATATTTTTATAATAGTCTGCATGTATTTTACTGTAAAGTGCAATCCGATAATTCTAGATGAAAGACATTATTAATTGTCCGTCCATAAATGGGTTGTGTCTGAGAAAAAATAGGTTTGACGGGACAACTTGACCGGTGCCAGCCCTGAACATGGTCATGGCCACCGTTTATGACTGTTAAAATGAAACAGCAATATGATTGCCATGACATCATGTAAAAAAATTGTTTGCATTTATTTGCAAGTACTCAAAAATTCTGTTGTGCTTAGTAAAATCATGATAAATTGAACTTTTCCTACTTTTCAAGGTCACAGGTGACAATGTGTGTTCCTTGGCAATGTGTGATGTTAGTGGTGATGGAAATCTTGAGGTAAAATATGTTAATATTGCTGTTCCCAGCCGCTCTTAGTCAGCTTATTATTTTATTTAACACTACAATATATTCAGCCTTGAAAGGGCTGTATGGCAGTTATGTGTCCATTTTTGTTATGAAACAATAAAAAATTACTTGTGAATGACAAATTAACTTTGTGTCAAACAAAATATGTCGATCCCAACATTATATCAAATGTTACAAACAACAAAATTGAACTTTGTTGGGCTAAAAAGTTTTCAAAAACCACACTTGCAATTTGTTTCAATCTTCTTAAGTATTTCCATCTGTGTTTCCTTTTGTATTATGTACTAACAGAAACTCATTAGGGATTGAAATGTGTAACTTTCATATGTTTGCTTTGTCCGATGCTCGTGATTATTCATTTTTGAAAGTACCTTAATTTGGAACGAGAAGAAGAGATAACTGGCCAATCAAACTTCATAAACAACGTGACGTAATTTTACTTCATGTTCCTGCACCCGCTTAAAAAAATGGCCGACTAACAGGGAAAAAACTCCCAAAAGCCGAGAAAGCTTTCAAAGGCTGAAACCAGGAATCTTATTGAAATACTGAGCAGGATATTATTGCCTTGCCACCCGGGCCAAATGTAACATTGTGAAACCCACTGACGTCCTTGCACAACTTCTTGAAGTTATCACTTCAAAAAACGATGCCTCGTTGACCCTTTGAACAGTAAACTAAAAACTGCAAATAGGCTTTAAAATTCGTATATTACTAGTCTAGAATAAACTGTAAAAAATATTTTTGAGTAAAATTCATTAGCTGCGTATCAAAAAGTGTCCAAACCCTGAACCTGACATCTTCGCAAAAAGTGATGCGTGTAATGAATGTGAGAGGCATTTAAGCTTAAATTCAGCTTGGATATTGTAGTCATGATTGTGTGTTGAGCTAATGTTATGAATGAACAAAGTCAAAACAATAGACAGAGAAGCCGTTTCTTGAAAATTTTTATTCAAAATCCAAAAGGTTAATTGTTCAAAGCAATTCGGAAAACACTATTTGGGTCGCGGATCCGTTCACGCAAGTCTACGGAGCCCTATAAAAGTGAAATCGGCTGAGCACATGGCAAAATTCAACACAAAATCCATCTCAAATCGGGGCACATTTTGTAATTTTTCTTTAGCGCCGAAGAGAAAAATTTATAAAACGTCTATGAAACATTTAAAAATACATAAACTCCGTTTCAAAAACGTAATTGTCTTGGCAATAGAGTGCAAAATGTACCTGAACATTCAGCAAAAACTTCACTGCCTTGGTTGCATTTAACAGACCATGCGCTCCAACATGAAGAAAACAACTTTCTCTTTCCATTTTTTGTCTTTTAACGGTGTATTTTTAACCTTGAAATGCAGAACTCTTGTCTTTAAACATCTGCATGGTGATCGCGCGGCAGCCATTTTGTTGAAAATGGATATCCGTCACTAAGGTTTCCAAATATGGTAAAAGTGAATATTCACGAGCATTGAACGCGAGTTACACATTTCATCGAACATTGAACGTGAGTTACACGTTTCAACCCCTTATGATTTTCTGGTACTAATAATAATATTGTTTCATCCAATTTGTTAGCAGTTCCTACTATTTGAATTTTAAGAAAATTTCATGATACAGCCCCTTTTAATAACATTAGTCGAAATGCAAGACAGTGTTTTTCTTGTCCCCACCCTCTCCCTGCCTCTAGCTCAATCACCACTGTAGAAATGTTATAACCACTAGGGATGTCACTAAGACTTCAAGTAGCTTAGTAAATACAACAAGAAGATGAGGAATAAAACAGCTAGGGATTTCTTTTGGTTCTATTTTTCTTCTCTTCTTCTTTGACAGTAGCCAGGGGCCATGTTTATAGTAGCTGGGGGAAATCCCTGGCCCCTCCTCTTAATGACAGCCTTGAACCAGAGGAACAGTTTGCTTTGTTTTAGTCAGAGTTGTCGTGCAATAAATTTGCTCTGTTCTGTTTAAGTTCTAGAAAGAAAACTCGACCGCCAGTAGCCAGTTTAGGCAATTCATCTTGAATCTGAGAATCAGATTTCACGTGTAGTTTCACATGACTTTTGATGACGTTTGTCATAAACAAACCAGTTTAATTAGTGGTACATTAATTTACCAACCTTCCCTTAATTGTAATATTATTTTGTTTGTCACTCGGTCAGACATTGTTAATATTTTTGAATAATAATTGAATTGTTGTTTAATTAATAGTAGTGGTACATACATTGCATTGTACAATAATATGGTATTTTTCACAGTTACTTGTTGGGTCAGAAGACTTTGACATCAGGGTTTTTAAAGAAGATGAGATTATTGCAGAGATGACAGAAACTGAAGTGAGTATATTGTTTCAATTTTTAGGTTTATTTAGTATTTTTTCTTCAATAAAATTGAACAACAAGTATAAAGTCTTAAGGAAAAATTTAACACTCCTTCTGGTTCTTTCATTTAAATCATCAATGTGTTCCAGTTTTTAGGTGTAATTAGAGACCTTTAGCATCAGGTTCTTCATGGGAATCGCAAACTGCAGTTTGCAGTTACGCTTTTGCAGTTTCACCTGGCCAGAATTTAAATTTTAGCAAGGCAATCACTGTTTAGTGCCGCCATGTTGTTTTTCATCGAGTTTTTTTATTGCCCTAAAAGCATGAATTAAATTCAAGTTCAAAAATCTAACTAGCACTACAGGCAGATGTAGAAAGCTACTTCCTGCATTTAAACGTGAGACTGTACAATTTTTAGTGGCAAAAAACCTGGTCATAAGTCACTTAACACTGGAAGCTCTTCCTCAGCCTATCAAACTGCAAATGCGACTGCAAGACCATGGTCACTTGACATTCTCAGGTTTGCGGTTTCCCAGGAAAAACCTGATGCTTAAGATCTCTGTTAAGCTAGACTATACTGTAGGAGGAAAATGACATCAATAGCTACCCCCCAGGTGAATAAAATTCATTCCTTTGGGCTGAGCAATTTTTAATGAATTTTACTTACAGTCTGTGACGTGTCTTTATCCACTCCATGGATCAAGATTTGGCTATGCACTGGCAAATGGAACCGTTGGAGTGTATGACAGGACTGCAAGATACTGGAGGATAAAGGTGATTTCTTTGCCAATGGGGATTATGTCTTTAAAAAAGAACATCATCAGCATGGCAAAGTCATCAGATGATGATGTTAATGTATGCATGAATATGCTGAGGTAGCCCGCATGTAGACATCTCTTATTTCACTTTTCCGCGTGCAACAACGGAAGTACAAGTTGTCCATGGGTGCAGGCTGATGTTGAGGTAGCAGTTGGAGAAATCATAAGTCTTTTGTGAATAGTTTACCGTAATTGTTAATGGTTTCTTTCTTTTGCAGTCTAAAAATCAAGCAATCTCCATTCACAGTTTTGATCTTGATTCTGATGGAGTACCAGAGCTGATAACAGGCTGGTCAAATGGAAAGGTACATGTACTTCAAAACACCAGTCCTGAAAGTGAACATTTCTGTACAGCTGTAACATGGCCCTAGCTTCAATGCAAGATAATAAGTCCATGTATAAAATATGCCAAAGGGCACCACAGTGTTCTTACCAGTATTTTCTACACTGGTGTCCACAGGACCCATAGAGAAGCTAAAAGGGGGTCATGAGGGAGATTTAAGCAGATCACAATAATTATTTTTAGATACTATCAAATTTTGGCTTATATTATAAGGAAATGTACAGATGTGTATGTATGTTTATGTACGTTTTGTGATAGGTTTACTTCCTTCTTTGCGCCCTTGGGGTCCCTTTGGCTAATCATAGTATGGCATTTCCCAAAAAAGTACAGCAATGCCGCAATGCCATGGTCTGGTATAAAAGAAGACTGGCACTATCATTGGAAGTTAATATAATAATGATAATAATAATAATAAAAAAAAATTTATAATGTGCCTTTTCCATGTAAATATGATCCATATCTGTATGTATTATTTTTATATGATGTCATTTTCATTTCCAATAATTGTGAACTCCACAGATTAAGTTTATTGCATTGTTTTAATAATCTGATGAGAGTTTTAACATCTTTACCCAAATTTTTTTCCAGATTGATGCACGTAGTGACAGAACAGGTGAAGTGATCTTCAAAGATAATTTCCCAGTGGCTGTTGCTGGTGTCTTGGAAGGAGACTATCGCATGGATGGCAAACTAGAGCTCATCTGTTGCTCCGTGGAAGGAGAGGGTATGTATCTTTCATGTACTAGTACAAATCTGGACATACTAGACATTCAAGTTCCATTTGTCAATGTTCTACCCGTGGCCATTGACATCGTTCTAAAATAACAGTAAAAAAATCTGATCATAAAGTCAATACTAGCCTGAGAAAACAGCCAAGACATTTTGGATCATTATAGGTTTCTGGGAACCTGCCCACCTACTCCTCCCCTAATAGAACATCAACACTTACTTCTCACTTAGGGCAAAATGTTAGCTTAGGGGAGGGGTAGGTGGGCAGTTTCCCAGAAGCATATTTATAATGATCCGACATTTTGTGATGCCTCCACTAGGATCTCTAGGAAAGATGTCTGAGAAACAAGAAATATTTGTAGAAATTCCATACTGAATATCACTAACCAGATCTTGGTAGTGCTTCTAATTTGTTGAAGTAAAATTCATGACCACTCAGCTATCATTTTTCGCATATTATATAGCAGTAATTCATTTTGTGCTGGAAGCTGCCTTTGAGCATCAATCCTTCATGCCTGTCTTGAACTCCCGTCGTACAAAGGTGGCACCTACAAATCACCAGTTGCTGAGTGCAAGGGGTCTTAAATTAGTTTGTGTTGTAATTAAAGGGGATGTGTCAGCAGGGCTGTGACACATTTTTCATTTTCTTAATAATGCTAATTGCCTATCCTTATTATTGCCAACACAGCTGCATGTCAAACAAAACATGTCCTCCAAGCATTATGTCTTGAACGTTACAAACAACGAAAATGACCTTTAAAAAATTGTTTCAGTTTTCTTCAAGTTTGTCTATCCTTGCCTCTTTTTGTATTTTCTCTGTGATTTAAACCTTCTTTTAATGTTGTGAGTGGTTATTTCTATTTTTCACTAAGTTGTAGCTCACATTGTTTGAACTTTGTTAAATTTTTGTGACACAGCTTATTTTACTTTTTACTTGTTATTCTTAAGTGCGTGGCTATTTACCCGCTTCTCCTGAGATGAAAGGAAACCTTATGGATGTGAATGTAGAGCAAGATGCAGTCAGAGAATTGGCACAAAGAAAGCAAAATTTGCTGCTTGAACTGAAAAACTATGAAGAAAATGCCAGGGTGAGGATGTTAAGCATTGTATCTGTTACACATGTTACTGTGAAAAATGTTTTCTAGTATTAATTGTGCAATAAATGAGCTGACTATATCACTTATGTCACACAAACATACATATCACTACATTTTGATCAAGAATAAGGTTTAAGTGACTTCTCACTCTATCTCTCTCTCTTTGTCTGTTATGTTTTACACAAACTGACTTATTTTTGGCTGACTATACAAAAAGCACCAAGCTCTCTATTCTACCTGCAAATTGCCTTGTATTTCCTTCTTCTAAAACAAATAATTTCTAGAGTTACTTAGGGCCCTTAAATGTACCTATTGTATTTTTTACATAACGTGTTTCTCTGAATTATGCCTTTATGTCAAACACTAGAAGAACAATAAAATGCAGTGTTCAATTTTGTGCTAAAAGGTAAAGCAACCATATTTTCCGTCGATAACTCGTGTCACTAATTCAACTGATGAACTGGAGGTCAATGGTGCGCCCATTTTTTACCTCAACCGCCCCACCCCTCTCTCTAAAGGTATTTAAATAGTCAAAGCTACACAGAAAAGAGAAAAGTCGAAACAAGCGTGTGACATCTCCAGGGATCGTCCCGGGACCTCGCGCACTGAAGGCCTCAAACTAACCAACTGTGCCATCCTTGCTTTTTCTTTGTTCAAATTTAAGGTTGGAAAAGCGGGAGGCCAGGACGTGGATCCATCCCAGTTAGGGATCATACCAGCCAACACCCAGCTACAGACATCATTATTGGTGAACCCTGGCAGTGAACAGGTGCAGCCTCATGTTGAACTCTCCATCTCCACCACCAATGATACAATCATACGCACAATAATGATCTTTGCTGAGGGGGTATTTGAGGGAGAAAGCCATGTGGTTCATCCTTCACAACAAAATTTAACCTCGCATCTGCAAGTTCCAGTTTTTCCTCCCAAAGATGTTCCTGTGGATCTTCATATCAAAGCTTTCGTTGGCTACAAATCCAGGTATCAGTGCTCTAAGTTCAACTTTTTCTTGGCAACCTAAAATTATGGAATGTTCGTCGGACATAAAATAGTAGTGGTTGCGAGAGAAAGAAAATAACAAGCAGATAAAGCAAAGCAGAACACTTTGTGCAATATTATTTGACTATTTGTTTGACACTATATATCACAATCAAATTTGACGTCACATGCGACATCTCAAAGTTTAGCATCCAAGTAGCCAGGGTGAAAGAGGTGAATTATAATGAAAATGGAGCATAATTAAACTTTTTTTAAGACTATAATCACGAACTAAATCAGTACGGTTGGCTCGAGCACAATTTCCATCAGTTTTGGACCAAATTGTTTTTTCAACTTGTCATGGAAACCAAAATGCTTGCAGCGGTGTGGAGCTCTTGCTATGTAGGATTTACAATTGAGCCTCTAAAAGCCACCTCTTTGCAGCAGGCAACTCTCCAGAACCGCCATTGTTTCGACCATTGGAAGTCTCTACGTGTTTATTCACTCTTGTTTCGATCTGTCCACACAACATCTCTTCAACAGCAATGGCTTCTTTAGCGCACATCATTGAAATTTCACTTATTTACTTGTTCAACCTTTTTCCCTTTTTTAGTTCCCATTTCCATGTGTTTGAACTAACAAGACAACTTCCAAGGTGTGAATGAAGAATAAAATCTTGTTTTATATTGTAACCTGCCCTTTTGCTGTTTTGAATATTTTTTTTTATGTAGATCAGAGAAATGAGGATTCACTTAGAATCTCTTTTCATTGTGTAGGTTCACTTTGTACATTCCATGTCCTGAAGGTTATGCTGAACCGAAGTCGTACTGCTCTTTTCATATAAATGAAAGAATCAACAGGGTAAGATTGCAAATTATAATGTAAACTATTTGGATGTGCCTACTTTGCTTTGAAACATCAGTTTTACATCAGGCTCTCTTCTTTTATATAGGTGGTAATGTGGTTGAATCAGAACTTCCTTCTT